ATGATACCGCATTTCGGGGCCTCCATCTTGAGCTCCGTCGTGCTTTTGACCTAATCGCGGAAGGGAAGCTTGAAGAGTGTTGTACACAATATGAATACCCGAAAGAGGAAGAGAGAATATTTCAGAAACCGGCGCAGGTATCTCGTCCCATATTAGTGCGAAGTGCTTCTCAGCAGCAATCCAACCGTGGAGGCCGTGGGGCGGGATATCGGAATGGAAATCGACAAGGTCAGCATCGAAATAATGGCAACAGCAATAGTAATAGTCGACGAACGTCGTCTAGTGTACCTTATGACAACAATGGGAGCCCGATGTTCATCCCGACTGCTTACCCGATTATGACGCATCAAGATGCCATCATGTACATGCAACAGCAGCCGACAGATCTGATGGCGCAGACGATCAACGCCTTGACATTACAGGAGAACAACCTTAGATTTCTCCAATACGCGCAGTCGCAGGCATTTAATATACAGCATAGTCAGATGATGCAAGGTAATACCCCGCAAACGCAATCTTCATCGGCGGAGCGTTCTAGGACGAACTCCTTCGATACACCCCCTTTGAGTGCGCCTCTTCGCCCGGAAATACGCCCCGAGATGTATTATTATCAGATGCAGATTCCACACGCGTTCTACGCACAACAGGGCTTCCCCACGTACCCGTCATCACCCTCGACCGCACACGCCGCTGAATTTCGACGGAGTTCCCACCGTTCGACGGCTGCTAGCGATACTAGTCACACTGTTTCCGGGAGCGCCTTGAGGTCACAGTCCCAGCCGGCCTCTCGAACTGTTCCTGGTATCCCGGTTGCTCAGGGCTTGGCAGGGGCTGGTCAGATACCTAATGGGGTTACTAGTGTTCCTGCTCGCCATATCAACGGAGTCCCCATGCCTAGCTTCATTCCGGACGAGGGGCAGGATATCGAACAGGGCGGATCAATGACGAACACTCCGCCGGAGGAAGAAAAAGGTCATAGTTATTACGCAGACCCATCTAGCCCACCTCGGCGAACGAACGCTGCGACTAGTAGCGTACCTGCGTTTGGCGACCTTGGAGTTCAATCTTCAACAGGTCAGAGCCGAGGCCGCTTATCGTCCGACCAGCTGCCTCAGTCGATACTGGATAGAATTAAGCAAAATTCATCTCGTTCTCCTTCGCCGCTCGGTCAAAATAGAGTCTATGCTGCTAATAGAAACTCTGCTCCTCTTGCTTCTGGGTCATTCCCTGCGGCTGCTGGATCGCAAATTCGCGAGACAACCCCCTTGGTTGTCAACGGCTCTATGTCAAAGCTCGCGAACGGCAGCTCGCCCCGACAGCCTTCGCAGAGTGAGGCTGCACCCATTCTGTACACCGGTTATGACAATGCACTTCACATTAATCAGCAGCTAGAGGCGACTGGTTCCGTCGTTGGAACCCCAGTAAGTCATACATCTACGTCTCGGAAAACGAATTCACCATCGTCAGATCGACCGGTCGTTGTCAATGGTTCGTCGAATGCTTGCGCCGTAATGACCAGTCAGGTACCGGCGTCCCAATTTCCTCATGATATGGCTACGAATCAAATAGGTAGTCACATCCATGCTATGAATATGCCTACAGTACCCGTTGGATTTGACAACGCCGGCAACGTCTCTGGGTTCAGCGCGCATGCCTTACAGCGCTTTCCTATTCGTGCGTCACCCAATGCATTAATTGCACAACTTGACCTTGCGACAGAAAATCGTCTACAAGCGACTGAGCTCTCGCATCTTTCGCCAGTATATGAGACTAACAGTCCTTCCCCAAGTTTCACGCGAAGACTAGAGTCACCTTTCGATCAGGCACCAGCAGTCCCAACTGCTATGGCGTATAGTCAACCGGATTTCAAAGCTGAACCGCCTAAAGCCAAACAAAAATCGTCGGTCGAGACGTCACCCAGGGTTGATGGGCCGATGCCCCTACATCCGAGAGTAAATGGCTTGTCGAGGGAGAATGGACACACGCGAGGTGTCAAAAGTGAGAGTGACAATGTTAGTACCGGGTGGCAGAAGATGACCAGGGGGAGGAAGAAGGGTAATGACACGAAGGCACGAAGCGAGGTGTATCCGCAGAGCGAGCAGTTGCCAAATAACGATTCCGAAAGGAAAGGAGGCTGAGTCGCGAATCTTGACAGACTTTGGATATGGCCCAAATGATGAATTGACAGACATGTGTTGTCTCGGTGCGAATCTCGTATTTGAGATATCTGGCGGTATATTGGACATGATTGGAGACTAGGTTATCTCCACATGGTTAACATCTCCAGTCGGTTTGTTCAGGGTCATGAGCTTCAATCATCGGTCTACTCATCGAGGATAATTATACTCGTTTATACGCTAACAACTTAAGATCATGTGGTATTTAAGTTCAGACGATGATTTCTCAGGAGCCGGCGCTTCGCATCAGACTGAGAGTTCGGATTGGATGTGTAGGGACCAAGGCGAGGGGCCATGATGGTTGCGTCATATGCATAATGCCGGGTTAGGTATGCTATATTTGGCTATCCTATGAAGCATGATACATTTTCAAGGATACCAATGAAGGGCACGAGAGGGGGAAGCTCATCCGACTGGAGTTTAGTTATTGGACCTATTTCCTTACGATTTGTACATCGCGCCGGGGGGGCGGACACCAAAGGGACACTTGAGAGGAGTCATAGGGCATATATATTAGAGCATCATACGGTGTGCGGGGCGCCTCGATATCCACAGAAAAGATCACGGAAAGGCTTGGGCGGTAGGGTCAACTTCTACGGTCACAGTTCTATCAACCGAATCAAGTGATTTGGCTGGCAGTTGAGGAAGAGGGGAGGAGGGGAATTCTTTTTCTTATGTGTCCCAAGGGTAACGGAAGACAACTCAACGAAGACGGGCATACCCTCAGATAGACGGTAACGGAAGTAGGCATGACAAAAAGAATAAATAAAGACAAAAAGTATAAAAGTAGAGGTAGAGATGTTAGAATAGCGTGCTCATATGTGTATGTATGGGTGATGTATGTATGTGGTGAAGACGTGCTGAAGGATCTTCTACGGGCTTTTGAGCTTGAGACTGGGCCGGTAGGTCGAGCCTGTGTTTCTAATATGTGTCTGTAGTACTAACTAACCTAACCTAGGTAAGTGTCCGATGTCGTTGGACGACGTTTTTTTCCGCGACGTTATGTTGTGGGACCTAGTTAACGGAGATGTTTGTTTGGGTGTGTGTGGCACCAGATGTCGGGACAGCGTGTAAACTTGGTACGCGAATATGATATATCTGAGATTTGTGATGAGTATATCCTGCTTGGTCTAACTCGTGGGTAGGTACATTTTGCTAAATATATTTTCCCTAGGTTAGTCTTTAGAAGGTCTATTGTTGCTTAGGAATCTAGCGATGAATTTCCGTTATCACCTAATATATATACGATCACATCGGCTGGTGACACGGCATCTCAGAGAAAGGGGGTGATGGATGGCTATAGCTGGTGCTAGTTGTTACAATGCGAGTTAAAATTGGAAAATCCAGGTACTCTGTAACGTCACGAATAACTGCCCGGGCGTATTAATGAGCTTGACTACGTTCTTGTATAGAAATTATTTTAAATGCCTCGGTAGGTAGGCACGGCGACGAATTATGTCCGCTTATCCTTTTTTCATGCTAGAGAGCACATATAGTAATATTCCGTCGTCGGTCATACGATCCGAGTCGTCTCTTAATATCACTAACGAGTTCAAACCATGGGACCGCATCATCGGGTAGGCAGTATTTGACAAACTCGAACCTAGTGTCGACCTTGAGTCTCCGCCGGGACGATGAGCCGGCCTTGGAGTCAAAGAAGGGCTCAAAATCTGGCCCGAATAACTCGTCATGGCGTTGGTATTTACATCCATTAAGTATTCTCTTATTTTAATCAAGTTGAAGATTGGAAAGGATCGTTGACTTGTGAATGTTTGAGTCGGGACAATAACCCTTTGCTCGCCAACGCATCTTCTGCCAAGAAGAGATTCCCCATTCCCCATGGGACCGGTTCTCACGGACACTAGCCGATTTCATGCAGACTTTTTGGGCTTCATTTACTGCTGACGTCGAGGCTTGGGGTGAATCAGCCTAAGATCTGAGTTATACTACAAGCTGGGATGAGAGGACGCGATTAATATATGTTTATTTTCTTATTTGCTAGTGCTTGACGAAGCACGTACCTCAAAAGCTCTATTGATCCTCTTAGCGGTCAAAAGCAGCGGAGCCGGCTCCTTTTCATCTAAATTGCTTTTCCTAATATCAGCCAGGGCTGACCCTCTAAGATTATAGGATTCATAGGAATGTGCAGCTAAAACGCCGGCGTTTTCCTCCCTAGCTGCCAACTTCGATTGACCCTGCAGAGATGGACATACAAGCCGCCCCTTTGAGAAAGACGATCGTTGGTTAATCAGATCGACCTTGAGAGCTAACTAGATGTCACTAAACAGGAAATTTCACATGGCTGAATCTGGGTTTTCCCTAGTCGGCGGAGGCACTTTAATAGGAATTTGCCCGTGGTTCGGGCGCGCTCTTAATAATACCTGCTTAATTCTTTTGCCCCTCTGCCGGGAGGCTCTGTTGGCATATTATGCGTCGACCGTGCACGACTTTTTTCCGACCTTATCGCTATAATACCATCATGATGATGGCTAATTGAGAACGTCATCGCATATAGTGCCACTCTGCCACTATCTCACCTCTGCTATTGGTAGCTGTAACAGGTTAATAGGAGCTAGCAACATCACTTCGTCATCCGTCAATTCATGAAGGCCTAGGTCAGCCTCAACGCTAATGCCCTATCTCCCGCAGCTCGCGCTAACTCGCGAGAGACCTGAACTAGGACTGACGTCGATCTATATTTTTGGACAGGGGGTCACAACCAGGGGGAGACAAGGTCCCCCTTATGAAAAAACACTTTCCGGTAGTCGATCAGCATACACGCGAAATTGCTCAGAATAGCAACATAGTGTTTTCCATGGCAAAAGCCTCTGTAAAATTCAAAGTATATTGGGGCTTTTTGAAGTGACGTTCGAGGGCCAAGGTGCTAGGGATGCACCTCATAACCTGGTACCGGCCGAGAAGGGGGAGGGCTGCTTGGTAGGATATATAGCAACTGGCATCTCTCCCTCTTGAGATTTCTTGTAGAGACACACAAGTTCTGTCGTTAACTTCCTATCCTCAGTCCAGTCAGTGCAGTTTCTGGTTCTCAATAGACCATCGGGGTTCCCTTGCATAGTCTACATACACTCATTCACTCCAGTAAACCCATCTCGAGCAAAATGTACGTCTTCGCCGCCCTCACTTTTGCTTCCGCGGCCCTTGCGGTGCCCTTCCCTCTTAGAAGGGCATACGGAACGGGTGTGCCATCTTACCCGGCTGTCCCTATACCCGTTCCTACATTTCCTGGCACTGCACCGACTGGCGGATCGACAGCCTTGCCAACCGTGGTTGATCCTACAACGTCGTCGTCGTACCATGTTACCGTCACGTATGCGACGAGCTCTTCGGTTCTCACGTCCGCAGTGCCATTCCCAACAAGTTCCCTAGAGACATATGTCTCATCGCTATCTTCACCTCTCCCTATTTCTCAGCCGGAGCCCACGCCGTCTGTGTCTCAGCCAGCCGATGCATCCTCTTCATCCCCAACGTTTCCGGCATCTTTCCCGACGTTCCCCGGAACTGCCTCGGGAACTACACCAGGAACCGTACCTACTGGTAGTTTCCCCCAGCAGCCGGCTACCTCCCAGTACTCCGTGAGCGTTAGCTACTCCCGGACCAACCCTGGCTACCCAGTTGCCACGCCCAACTAAGCTATACGTCTACAATGAGAAGACACGCGGCACGCCCCCCCTCGGAAAAGAAAGGAAAAATTTGATTCGCAAGATCGAAAATGGCCCTCTACCGCATCATGAATCTTCGTTTCTACGCCAATTTATTTCGTACGACTTGACTTGTCGCCTCGTGCCGCTCAGGGAAAGGGGTGCGAGGATTTAGATCAACTAGGCTGGCTCAAGACCGCCGCTGGAGATCGATGATAGCGCTAAATGCGCGGTTTGGTGATAACATTTCTTGTATATAAGATCTTGCCATATAACCTCTTAAATGGATGCCTGCGTGTATTCGCGTGGTTGCTTTCTGATACATACCTACCTATACTTGTTGCTGTTTTGCGATATCGACTTAATGCTTTAGCTAAATTACAGAGATGGGCTTGTGAAGTCCTAGTACTATTCCTGAGACGGTATATCTTGAGTCTTTTCATAGTCTTGATTTGTGAATACTAATGGGGTATCTCGCTGGTACTTGAGGACGTACATATATGTCTACCTGTAGAAACTCCGGAATACAATGCAACTGTGGGGTCCCCAACCGGCACCGGAAGCCCGGTTGGCACATATTATACGAATACGAGAAGCCACTTAGACGCCGCCCCGTGAGGAGCTAAGGGAGCAACCGAATACGCGAACGGGAGCGAATGAGCCCAACATAGTCTCACATTCGGGTAGTTTACCTTATATAAACATTGTGTCGTCAACTCCGAGCCTAACTTAATAGACCTAGAAACAGCATCATATCCCATCAGTTGTTATAAGTTTGGACAAAGGAGATTGCCAAGGTGGGGCAAAAACAAGGAATAACTCTTCATATATTCGGAATTCGAAGAGAAGAAAATGGCAACTACGCTGCAGGGAACAACAGTCCTGGTGACCGGCGCAGGCGGCGGGCTGGGCAAAGTGATAGCAAAGGCTTACCTGGATGCCGGCGCTAACGTAGCCGTCTGCGACATCAACGAGGAACGACTAGCTTTAGCTCGGTCCGAGCTGCAAGAGACAGGACGCTTCGCCGCCTTTAACACGGACATTACGAACGAAGAGGCCGTGGCCAAGCTCGTAGCCGACGTCGTAGCCAAGTTCGGTCGCCTCGATATCCTCGTCAGCAATGCCGGCATGACGGACAAGTTTGACCCCGTCGGTTCTGTAACCAAGGAGACTTGGGATAGAATCATCAACCTTAACCTCACCGGTTCGTTCCTCGTCTTTAAGGCCGGTGTTAATGCCATGGAGAAGCAGTCACCACCAGGCGGAACCATCATCCAGATCGGCTCGACGGCGAGCTACCACGGCATGTCGTCTGGTGTCGCTTACGCAGTTAGTCTACCCCCCCGACCCTCCCCCCCTTATTATTATTATTATTATTTTTTATGTTTTTTCTTTCTTCTTATCCAAGCCGTTCGACCCGATCCCCCCTAACAACAACTCGCCTTCTCTCATGAAAGCCCAACCCAATGCCTTACTTATATAGGTAACTAACGCGTTTCACCTCCAGGTCAGCAAACACGGCGTAGCCGCCCTAGTAAAGAGCACAGCCGGCTACTACGCAGCGAAGGGCATCTACGCGATCGGGCTGCTGCTCGGCGGCATGATCGACACCAACATACAGGACAGTTTCACGGTACTGGGCGGATTCAACACCGAGGCTTACGCGCAGAGCGTGTCCGCGAATTTCAAGCCCGAGATGGCTATCAAGACCAAAGATGTCGCCAAGTACTGTGTGTTCCTCGCTGATAGGGGTATTGCCGAGACGTCTAACGGGTCGTTGATTAACTTTAACAAGAACTACCCTAACGCGTAAAATGTATTGGGAGTTGTGGCTGTAAATATAATCTGGATAAAGCGATAGTTTGATGGCTCGTCTCTATTTTAGAAGTTACTTGGTTGGGCTGATTGCGTTGCGAGGTTTGTCTAATCGTGTAAGTAGGAATGTATCAGGATTCTAGATGAGACATCTAGAACAAATGATATGTTCAGTATGTATAGACACAGACTCTTGTAGGATCAGAGTTCCTTGTGGAACAACGAAGTTGTTTCCCTACTGTTTAGTTCCACCTCGCGACAAAATGGATCCGGTCCTCTACCTTAGGTAAGTAGGTAAGTAGGTACAGAGAGCGAGAGCGAGAGCGAGAGAGAGAGAGAGAGGTCTTACTAATCTCTCCAGCACGGGCTCATACAATAGCATACCATCTAGACAAAGCCACGAGGTCCCTTAAGTGTTTCACTGCTCGGGATTCTGGCCATCCAGCTTGGCTCATATATAGTCAGTGTAGTTCTCGACGCTTACGTATGTAGTACGTCTTTCTCCAAATTTAGGACACAGGGAACATATTCGAATAAAACAGGATATTGTATTCAAAACGAAACCGACAAACTTGTAGCAAGTTTAGTTTATATGCTTTGTAAGTAAGAGAAGTCTTGGTTTGAGTTATAAGTGCTAGCACCAGATGACTTGTAACTAGGAGAATTTATAAGGCGTATATATGTTTAATTAGGGATGCTACTTGCCTTCTGTCGGAGAGTATTGATAGTTTATATGTACTATTGGGCTAGTAGGCTGGGTCTATGACGGTATTATTCTGTTACCTGTTAGCTGCGTCTTTATTAGTAGTCCGTCCAAGTAAAAAAAAATGTCAACTGGGGGAAGCAATGCTCTATCTATTATTTGCTTCAAGAACACATACTATGTAATGGCGGCCTAATTTCCGAACGGCTTTCATCATATGCGAGGTACCTAGTGAAATCCAAATATTATTATGTCATCTTAACTTGAGCTTGTGGAGAATAGCTGTGATGGTAGGCGACTCCCCTTACCCCTTGATGCCAAGTGAATCTAGACTTAGCCTTGCAATGGAGACAACGGATGTATAGGAGAGTTTGGCTAGAGTCTGTCCACCCCCTCCGGCGAGCATACATACGGGTAAGTCGGCATCGGGAGCCAAGATTACATTTTCTTATTTGACTAGCTGGTACCTGTTAATGTAATAGGCACACTTTACGGCGAAATCGACCAAATCTTTCTCTAAACAAGACTTGAACTAAGTAGGCATATTCCAGACGCTTCATCCCAGATTTACCATGGGTATGTATTCTGGACAGTTTATCATGAGTTAATTGTGCTATTTTGACATTCCCAGCAACATGGAAAACATGTTAGCAGAGTGTCTTAATGTTTTGTTATGCTATTGATATAATTATTTTCTGACTGGCCTGTGGAACTTGCGTGAAAATAAATAAATAAAAGTCGTCGTAGCTAGGAGGTAGCAAATGTATAAAGATCACGCAACTTAGTGGTTGTTAAATGGTTCGATACAATATCGTCATGTTTGATGTTCGCTAGGATTTCAAACACTCAACTTGAGACGAAAAGTAAAAGTGCGCGCTAACATAAATAATAAGCTACTAAACCCTTGTCCTTCCCCAGAAAATCGTGCTCAATAAAAAGCAGATGGTCTAGAACATCACATGCCAATATTCAGGGACTCTGGGGAGAATATGTGTCGTTCTCATTGGCTCGCGAAAATAGCACTACCAAACTCGTGCTTTCGGGGGTCATCAGAATTGCAAAGATGCTTAAAGCGAACTGCTAAAATACAAGAGTGATGATGTGCATCTTAAACAGGAATGTATATTACTGTAATTAGAAAGATAAGATCCCGATCTCATGTGCTTCTTGGGGGTGTCTGGTTACAAATTCACCTTCTTAATGCATTTTCAGGTATATTATCACACCAACCAACAACAGTTGTGCTGCGGAGCCAAGAACACTAAGATTTCGAAAGGGGTAGGAGTGGCCTGATAATTATCCAAGAACAGGCAGTCAGCCGCTTATGGTCCTGAGTAGGTGCTAGAGTAATCATACATTAGAAAATTCAATCAAATGAGATTGTCTTTTGCTTTACTACGTATGTAGAGTAGTGAGAATAGTAATCGTTGACTGGCGATTGATTTGCCAGCAGATAATTCTCTTTGTCGTTTCCTCGCCGGCCCAATCTAATTGATTAGCTCTCGCGAGGGGAAATATAGAAAGGGAGACGTCGTTCTGTACGCTTTGTTGACTCCAACACACCACGTGGGTTCTGGGCATCAATGCTTTCGATATTCCTGGAAATCTCGCTTGCGGTGCAAACTAAAAGTTGGTACATACATAGCGGTGCGAATATGTAGGTGCTGCGTGATCCCTCTGGACTCATTACTATTGGTGGAGCTACGTAAGGGTCGACGTAGGTTACCAAAGTAGATGCTTATGGAGGCTTACAGGGTCTCAGAGAATCCGCTTACAATACATACCTGCCTCTAGTAAGCCATCGAAACGTCGGCCAAGAGAGACAGGCGCCAACCATTCTTTCCGGGTCTTTCTTTACAGGAGTTAGCCATCTAAAGAAGCCTCACTTGGCAACTCCTGCGTGTCTTTCCATGTAAGACATTGTCGTAAATTGAATCTTGGCCTGCTTGGCTATTTCATGTTATCGCCCATGAGGTACTGTGGCAGCTGGTCATTTCGGAGCTGGATTACGCTCAGGACTCATCTTATCTCGCTGGGGTCTTGACGATGTGTACTCTCCTCGGCTCGATGAACCCCGAACTCCATAGGGTACCTTAGGCAGCACCGTGAAGTCCGGATTCGAGTGATGGGATACTCGCTGTAGTTTCAGTATCCAAGCCTACTATCCTCGATGTTGTTGCAATGCTAATATCGACTACCCCTTTGAGGCCGAAGTTTCGGCCAAGGAAATAAGCAGAGTATTTTTATTCAGTGGTTGCCATCCTACTGAATATATATTGGGGCGATGTTCATCATCCTTCAAATGTGGCCGAGGTGGGAACCAGTCTTTCGGAATTTTTCGCTCTTCTTTTTCTTTTCGCTTCGCTTCTTTACGATATATCTTTGCTGCGCTCCGGGAGCCTTTTCGCATTTTAATATTTTCTCTCGTTAATTATTTCAGTCTTTCATTCTTACTCAAGATATTCGTTTCTCAGTTGTTTAGTCGATATGCCGTCAGTCATTTCTCGATTTTTCTTCCTAGCCGCGTCTGTGACGCCGGTATTAGGGTTTTGCGGTTCCCACACACATCTCGACCGAAGAGCAGAAGGAGAGGAGGTACCGATCTCGACATTTGGGTATACCGGCTCGGTGGGACCTCTTCTCTGGACTCAGCTGGACACTGCTGCCAATGAACTATGCTCGACGGGCAGCAACCAGTCCCCAATCAATATGGCCGATGGACAATTCACCCTCATTCCGGCATCCGACATCGAGTTAACCGTTCCCGACGTTACAGAAGGTGCAACCTTTGAGAACCTCGGGTCAACAGTGGAAGTTGTCATGAAAGATGTCGGAGGGACGTTCGTCCTCGAGGGAAAGAATTACACACTAGAGCAATTCCATTTCCATCACCCCAGCGAGCATCTTGACAATGGTGTCAGCCTGCCGAGTAAGTAGATAGTACCTAGGATTCGGGATTCATGTTACTTAGCTAACATATGTAATAGTGGAAATGCACATGGTATTCACCACGGAGGAGGAGGAAATTGCCGTGATCGGTATCTACGTCGACATTGTAGACTCCCCGACAGTTCTTCAACTTCATCTCCACCCTCGAAGATCCTCGTCGACTCTACTCGAAACCATCTTCTCTTCTATCGGAGAAATTGCCACACCCGGTACCTCGACGAAGACTCAGCCTCTGGTTATGTCGGAATTGGTCACGCAGCTGCTGGCGGGTAGCTTCCAACGGTATTCCGGCTCTCTCACGACCCCGCCCTGTTCCGAGGGTGTCGCCTGGTCTGTAGCGACCGAAAAGCTCCGGCTGTCTAAGACGACCTTCCAGGCAGTACGTGATGTTGTTGGATTCAACTCCCGCTACCCTCAGAACAACCTTGGCGAGGTGAACCTGCTTGCGACAGCCGCAACCGCTGCAGCTCCCTCTGCTCCCGGGAATTCTACTGTAGCCCGGAGACGATGGGTCAGGTAATGGGAAGGGTCTTGGGGGGATAGGTTTCATCTCATGGAATTTCGGATTGCATTGTAAAGATACTTGGCGATACCCTTGATTTTAAGAAGATTCGCTTGGATCTGTATTAAAATACACAATATATAGGCTTGTATAAAGGATTATATGGAAATGTAGTTGTAAAAGAGGACTGCAAAGATGAGTAATTTGAAGTTAACTAGACTTAAAAGTTGAAGGCGCTTGCTGTTATATTAAGCTCAAAATTGGAAACTTGACACTCTATATTTGTATGCGAGTCTGGCTTGGATACCTATTCTTGGTCTTCTTGGTCTTCTTGGCAGGCCATCAAGGTATAATTGAAGTTGCCAAGGTGAAGGTGCTTCCGTGATGTTCAAACTTTTTACTACATGTAGTTAACTAACCTACTAGTTAACCTAGTACAAAGTTTAAGATGTATAGGCGTGTATATGTGGGTTTTCTCTGACCCCGCCAACCCGCTAATGGGATAGGGATATTAAGTTTGTACCTGCGCCGAGATTTCGTCATTGTAATTTTTCTCAACGCCAAAAATTATTTTTCAACTTTGACGTCGATCGGATGCACCTAACCTAATGCAATATAGGCATCTTCTGATATATATCATTTGACTAAAATGGATGTAAAGATAGGTCAGGCACTGTAGCACTTGGAATTAATACCTGATTTAGCTTGGAGCAGCTCCTAAATAATCTAAAGAGAATCACACGAGAGCAAAATGGCATCATTCTTGGAGCGGACGACAGTCAATTCCAAGGTTCAGCTAGCCGCAACAGCCATTGCTTCTGGAGCTGTCGTCGCGGGGACAATCCTAGGATACCAACGTTTACAGAGAAAGGAGCGCATCAATCAGCTTAAAGAATCGATCCCTTCGTCGCTTGATGAGGGAAAGGTGAGAGTTGTTCTCTCGAATACCTAAACTACCTCCTACCCACCTTTGACATCTGTGGTCTACTTATGGCATTTACTTGTAGTAATTGTATACTGACTAGCGCAAGGTAGATTACCAGCTTTGGCGGCACCTCGACAACCGATAAAGAAGATCTCCGAAATCAGCTACTCGCGAAACGGGCACAAGCTGGCGACTACGACGACGAACTGATACTCGAACAGCTTGCACGTAACCGCGTCTTCCTCACACCGGAGGGTCTCGGCAAACTACGAAATGCTTTCGTTATAATAGTTGGCTGTGGAGGTGTGGGCTCTCACTGCACGGCAGCTCTAGCACGATCGGGTGTCTCCAAGATTCGCTTGATCGATTTCGACCAGGTAACGCTAAGCTCACTAAACCGTCACGCCGTTGCGACGCTGGCCGACGTAGGCACACCCAAGGTTCAATGTCTAAAGCGACGGCTTTTAGCTATAACTCCATGGGTACATTTTGATATACGGCAGGAAAAATTTTGGGACCAAGCAGCTGATAGACTGCTGGACTCGTGGGAGAACGGACAAAAGCCTGATTATGTTATAGATGCGATCGACAACATCGATACCAAAGTTGCCTTGCTAAAATACTGCCACGATCATAACTTGCCGGTAATATCATCCATGGGAGCAGGGTGTAAGAGCGATCCAACTCGGATTATCGTGGGTGATATCGGAACTAGTACCGACGACGGTCTGTCGAGATCTACTCGGCGACGCCTAAAACTGCTTGGAGTCACCAAGGGAATCCCAACCGTGTACTCGACAGAGAAGTCAGGCGAAGGAAAGGCTGAGTTGCTCCCACTTCCCGAGGACGAATTTCAGAAGGGTAAAGTAGGTGATCTAGGAGTGCTGCCAGATTTCAGAGTGCGGATACTGCCAGTTTTGGGCACCATGCCAGCCGTGTTTGGATACACAGCAGCAAACCATGTCATACTCTCTCTCACTGGTAAGTACCTCTTACCATATTATGTTTTTCTATATACGGACTAATATTTACCTAGGATATCCACTCGACTATGTTCCGGCAAAAGGTCGCGAGAAAATGTACGAGGGTCTCCTTGCTGCAGTCCAGGGAGGGGAAGAGAAACTCCTCCGCTACATGACCGGCGGTGACCCCAGCATCACCCTGGGCCTAAAAATACCCATCACAACAGGAGACATGGCGTTTCTAGTCGAAGAGATATTTAAGAGCCGAAGCGCCATAAGCGGACTCACAACTCGTCTAACTTTAGTGAGGTGGCGAAGACCAGCGGACTCCATACTGATAAGGATTGGGGAGGGCACCGACGAGCAGAAGTCATCGAACGTCAAACTTTCGGACCTCGTTTGCATGACCAAGGAAGAGAGCACAAGACACGACAAACAGGTTCTGCGAGGAACTGAGAGGCCTGAAGAGGTATACGATGCGGCCACGGTGGAGAAGGTGGAGGCATTACTCAGAGATACTGCCAAGTATGAGAAATACAGGTAATATTAATTTTTCTGCTACGCGGCCTCACGGCCTCCGTAGCAGTGGGTGTTTTCTCATTATTCTCTTAAGCCACTTCCAGGCCACCAACTATGAAATGCCGTGCTGCTCTACTTGGCCAGATCCAGAACTTCCCATAAACGCCTCCATACCTAGAACGCCTTAATCATGCCTTACAGTTTACCTTCCCTCCGTAGTCCTTCCCATAGCGCCACCGCAGCAAGGCATTTCGCGTCGCGCGCGCCCTCTCTCCACAGATCTCTCATTGGGACTAACTTAAGTGTGATCATCTCCCCGTGATCCCGGAGCCCTGTCAGTTTGCCGGTCCATTCTTGAAGGGTTTCACGCGGCACCCGCCGCTCATGCATAAATATCGGAATATGCTCATCGCATCCACCAGCTGAGGGATACATAGCTTGAGGCAGGTTCTCGTCGCCTTCACCCTCGCCTCCATTCTCATCTCTATTTGTATCTTCATTTGCTTTGCTTTCGATGGAACCGGTAGTAGCAACCAAGTCGCTCAGGCACCGTAGTTCCGAAGCGCGAATCTCAAGTCCAAGTTCTTCTTTGATCTCCTGCGCCGCGGTTCCCGCGAAGGTGCCCCCCTCGTCCACCATGCCCGCAGGCAACTCAACAAATGCGAGACTACCGGCCGGAATGCGGGCCTGAACCGTCAACACTACGTACCGCTCATCATCTTCGTGACCCGCTGGAACGTCGTCTGGTACTAGCATGACAAGCATGGCGACGCTCGCGCCGCGCAGGAATACGCTACCCGGCAAGGTCTCGCCGGCACTGTTCTTAATGTCGGCAATAAATTTCAAGAATCCGAGGCGCTGACGCGGAGCCCGGCCGAACAGGTCGAAGCTTTGGATTGTGATGCCGCGCAGGGCGTACGGGTCCTGGTGGAAGGGGTGCGCGGCATTGGTGTGCTGGAGCGAGAGGGAATGGGTTAGGGTGGCGAGCCAATTCTTTTGTTCACTCATTAGTATTTTAGTTCATAGGTAATTAGGCACGAAGTAGTTAATACAAATTATAAATAAGAGCAATAAGAAAAAGTTACCTTACATTAAAAGGTGAAAACCCAAGGAGTTTCTCTTCAGGGAGGCCCTCGGGGAGCTTGACTGGTATGTCTGGTATGTCGGGCTTGATGAGTGTTATCGTCGCCATTGTGCGTCTAATAAGTATCTCACTTGGGATTATTCGGCGATGAGTTGATTGATATGGGAATCTCGCTGCTGAAAGTTGAGATGCTTTACTAAATGTAATGCGCATTTCAATTTTAGTTGTTGTAAGATTTGATGGTGAAATATCTACCTATATATATTTTTCAAAGCTACCTACCGAGGCATATATGCGTGCCTAGCTGTCTGCCTTGTAATTGTATTGTACCTTGAATTCTAGGATGACGTCTATTCCGTTCAAGACATCAATACGCTTTCTTTTAACATTCGCATATAAGAAACTAAGGGGTAGCGCCACACAGAAGGAATCGGGATTTCAGCATATTTCGTTTATCAGCATAAGAGTTTCCTTTTAAGATGATGATTCTTGGTTTTAAGGAAGCTTTATTAATTCCTTCTCAAGTATTTCTATCTAATCTTGCGACAACAACTTTACCTTAAGTATACATAACTAGCTGAACTTACGCCTAGATGTTCTTTGTCTAGTGGCATGCGGCTGTGTGACTAGCAACCTTGTCAGGATGCTAGGGCTACTGCCGGCCTTTTGCCGAATTCACAACAAAAGCAATCCGCTATATAAATACAATTTGTTAAACCTTTGGCATGCAACATCGCATCGCATCGCAAGTCATATCCGGTATAGTGTAACGGCTAACATACCTCGTTTTCACCGAGGAGCTCGGGGTTCGATTCCCCGTACCGGAGTTTAATTTTTGGCTTGGTTTTATTATTGCACATGGATAATTGCTAACTTACCAAGCATTAATTTTTCTTGAAATCTTTTTCTTGTCGTGGGGGTCATTGATTCTTCCAATTAGGTACTTACCTCTACTTACCTCTGAAAGGGCTTCAGTTGTGCATAGGATAATTTCTTTTAGTTAATGCTACTTTTCGCAATGCTTTGCCTATCTGAATGCAATCCATTCTGAATGTGTGCACTGCTTACAGATGTTTGGCTGGGTAGACTGAAATGCACGAAGGAAAGTAGATCTGGTAGGTGGTTTTCTTTTATCATATTGTTCTTCCGTCATTTGAACATATGAAGAGGTGAATCTTGACTTATAGCCTTTTATACGAACAAACATAGCTAACTTAGCCTTACTACTCAAGACCTCTGGAAAGGCTGACGCCTATGGCCGAACGTAAATAGTCTCATCAAGATACCGCTCACTTCAGGAGCATGGTAGCTACCCTGCTGTCTCTAAATTTGTTGCCAAGTCAATAGGTATTAAGGAGGCTAAAAGGGGGTGGAATGGATGCTATAAGCCAGAGCCAATACCTCAGGTTAGGTTAGGTTAGGTTAGGTAGGCATTCAAGAAACAACTGGTGAATCGTAACGGGTAGCTTGCAGGAGTATACCCTACCCCTTTCCCTTAGACAAGCCCCAAAGCCTCATAGCACAGCACCCTAAACCAAATTACTACCACTCCTCGTCTTCACAATCTCCCCCGTCGCATTCCTATCCTTCATCAAATACAAATACGCCTCCGCCACATCCTCCACCGTCGCCGCCCTACCCGTCGGGACCTTCTCCGCGACAGCCCTAGCCTGTCCCTCCAACTGCTCCGCCGTCAGCCCCATCGCCCCCCATAGTCCCGTGATCACGAACCCCGGTTCAACGGCGTTGACACGAACGGGCTTGAGATCGACGGCCAAGTTGCGCGCGAGCCCCGTCAGACCTGCCGCTACGTACGCGATCATGCTCCACCCGGGGTTCGGCTGGTCGGCAATGCCTCCCGTGGAGATGGTCAGGCTGCACTCGTTACTCTTGGCGAGATGGCGCGCCGCCACTTTGCCCAACAGCAAGGGCAGTTCCATGCGGAAATGCGCTACCTGCCGGATCTTCTCCAGCGTGATGTCCTGCACGTCCGCGACCAGCAGCGCATCTCCTGCCGTGAGAACGACATGATCGATGGGTTGCGCTTTTTCAGCTTCGATGAACAGTGCTTCTAGGTCTTCTTCTACAGAGTCCTTAGATAGGTCGCAGGAGATCCCTGCTACTTGTGCGGTAGGGTATGCGGCCTTGATTTCGGCCAGGGATGTCGCGGCGGACTTGGGCGAGGAGCCAGACAGCGTGACGCGGGCTCCGGCTTCGATAGAGCCCTCGACTACCCCGCGGCCAATGCCATTACTGCCGCCGATGACAAGGATGTGCTTGCCAGCGAGCTTGTTGTATTTGGCCATTGTGGTATTGTTTCGTAGGTTTGTATATCTGGATAAAGGGGTTGTGATTCCGAGTTTGCTGCTGTCTCGACTCTGAGAAGTTTGACGTGAGCTATGGTCTTCATCTCGGTGGCGGCCTTCGCATTTATCTACTTTTAGCAGGTTATTACCCTACCCCCTTCTCCCCTCTTCCTACACAATATTGGATGTTGTAATTCACCGTCATGTCATGTGACAGGTTAATAGACCTAGGCAAAAGACATAGGGTTTGTCATAGCATCACATTTTGTAATCAGGAGCTTCCGTAAGCTGATTTAGGTACACATACGCGACCAATTTCGCCGCCCACCTTGAAAACTTTATGCTTCATAATCAAGCTATGCTTTCTAGTTATACGTGAGTGTCTAGTAGTTGTTTCCACATGGGGTTTCTTAATACCGTGTAGTTGTGGCGGCGGGTGGCATTATTTCCGCTGCTCTGCAGATGACACGAGTAAGAACATGAACGGATTGACGGGATTAGCGGCGATTGACCGGAGGACGGTAGTAGCTCTCGGGGATGGAATACGGAGTTACTGTTTTTGGATGGTGCTATCATGGACGCCCACGGATATAATTTTCATACAATTATGCTTGTCAGCTGAAGGGGAAATGTTATAATACCAAAGTTGCATATTGCATAAAGTCTATTGAGTCAGATTGGAAACTCTGGTGATCACTCAAACTCATGAATTCGGCCTAGTAGCACACAATCCTGACTTTAACACCAATTCCCTTTCCTCACACGCCACCAAAAATGCCATCGTATATCAGCAAGACTGGAAGCTATATCTTTGAATAGGAAATTAAGCCCCAAATGATAACGAGGGAGCGATACATATAACGACTTAGCAGCATCATCGTACAAGCGAGATCTTGTGTTCGAGCTTATTGCGAAAGTATATCCGGCAGTAGAAAACTCCTATCATGATAACTTCAGGTTGTACCAGTGGGCATCAGGTTTTTGTTTAATACCCTTGCTGGAATCTATTCAAGTCGCGTTTTTGCTGAGCTGTCGGTGACGTACGAAGGATATCTTCCAGGGGCGGTTGGCCGGGCTCTCTACATAGTCGAAACTGCTCATAGAGTCCACCTATCCGAAAGTTAGCTGCATCCTTATTGCACCATGGATTCTTACCTTTTTTGTTCTTACGCTCTCGCCAACCGACAACTTGGTAGAGCCCGTCGTATCGGATACCACACTCAGGGAGCCAGCGATTGCTGTTGGAGGAATGGGGCCCACCGGAACGTAAGACGCGTACGGGATGTCTTGTTTGTAGCGAAGCCTTTAGAGCCTTCGTCCCAGCGCTGGACGGTACTGACTGAAAAGGGTCTTCATTTTTGTGGCTGTTTGAGCCAGAGTAGTAGAGTATGTCACCTTGGTCGTCGTCGAGGTCGTCGTATACATTAGAAACCACGATAGAATAAGTACCTGCTTCAGTAGAGCTTTGATGATTATCAGTGATTGCCTCTTCGGATGGTCATCGAGAAAACCATGAGAACATTTAGCTAGCTAGATTAATCAAGAAATCTCGATTCCCAAGAGAAGGCAAGAATAGGGGTAACAAATTTGTAATGCCACTTACCCGGCAATACCTCCCATTCGCGCGCCGTGGGCACCACGATGAAGCGCAACAAGCTGGTTAGCAAACCAAGCTCCGACGGGAATGTTGTTATGCCCAAACACCTTGGCTGATCTCTTAGGTACACGTGGGTTCAGCTGGTAGGATACTCTACCTTTGGGGCCACGAGCGACCACAATCCCATGCATGATGCCGTGTTCCCCATAAATGGGGTGGCTTGGTGGTGGTAGCTGGCTTTGAATGATGGGAACTTCCTCTCCATCTTCAGGAATCACCTCCTCTTCGGCTGCGTCCTCCGAGGCTACTTCATCCGCACCCCAGTTCTCAGACTCCCATTTTTCATACAAATCCCCAGCACTATTCTTCATGTCTTCGGGGTAGAATAGGGCCGGGTTGTTTATAATTAGTTGGAGCATTTTGGGTGTAGTGGTCTTCTCCTTAATCTCAGGAGTCATCTCAATAGTATCTAGCCATTGTAGATAGGCTCTTCCCTTTTTAAGGAGGTCTTTACACTCTGAACCATCCTCAGATGTTACAACCCGTTTAAGATTTCGGCTCTTGACCCCAAGGGTAGCGATAGTAAATCTGTTATGGTAATTTATGTGTTGAAGCTGCGCGGCTCTGCTACTGCCGACAGCAAATACATCGACAGTGGTCATTTTGATTGCTTGAGGAGGAAGAGTGATCGATACTATAGAAAGAGAAGTGTGACTAAATTGAAATGGTGTGATATGATACGGTAGTAACTTGGATTTAGAATAAGTGCAAGACTTTGAGGGTATATTTGTAAGACGAAGCGCCTGGCAAGATTTCTTTCTGGAAGATATGATCCGCTAAACCTTTTTACTGTACTAATGATGGCGCTATAGACGCAGAAAGGGATCACCAGACTGAGCAAGTTACCTAGATACTTAAGAGGTCGTGTAATGTATGTTATTGGAAAGTCCGATGTTAGTGAAGCCGATATAGCAGTTTGCGTAGAACCTTAAGGCCTCGCCTCATTATTAGGGTTCGGGTTATAAATATTCTCTCATGTAATAAAGAAGAATGAGGTGAATATGGAATCGACATGTGGAATTTAGGAAGGAGACGTTTATGACTGGGGGGAGACTACATTATGTACGTAATGTAGGTAGAGATCAGACCACTTATACCTGTTCACAAGTTAATACACGGTAGGTACTTTTCACGATCATCTGTTAATGCGTCAATAATTTGTACAAGGCAAGAAACCTAGCCTACCTATGTATCAATATGATTACTCATAATTATATGTAGTACTGATGGAAGTTGGTTGTATTGCACCTTTTGGATCTTATTACTTATTGGTGAGATCTATTAACCCGCCGACTTGCTTCTTCCTGTACGTATTAAAAATGGGCTATTGTTTTCATCACAATCCTAAATACCTGGGGTTTAAGATTTGTGACAACACAAATATTACACATCTATTATTACACCAACCTACCTTACGTATATATGTAGATATATATAGATTTGGGCAGACACGGTGTAACGCACTGGCATTCTTGGCCATGTATGCTTTGTCTCCTTGAAAACCTCTGCGCTATCGTATGCAAACCCGGAACCCGAGCGTGACGTAAGTCCGCGCCAAGCACAAGGCGATCTATTAGTAGACGTCTCGCTTCTTGTTCTACCCTAAGAAGTTTTGAATATTACCCCCAACGTTTTTCAGATCCAGCAAGAATGTGTCGTGGCCAAACAGACTCTGTTCCTCGCTCAGTTCTACATGCGTTACGTTTCTATTGCCGGTGAGGCGGATAGCATTAGCAACTTCTCGTTGTTGCCAAGCGGGAAATAAGATGTCGCTTGCTACGCCCATCACCAGAGTCGGGATATCCCTCAGCGGCGATAAACCTTCAATTAGATCTTGAGGGGGACGGGAGTCGCCTGGTATAGGTGAGTTGGAATCATCCACGTATGTTCCAGGCTGCTCAGAATACGGCAAGTCGGGTAATGTGAGGCTACAATACCGGTCATTTGTTTTGGAGGATGACCCAGACTGAATGAGCCTCTCACGCTCGGCTCGTCGTTGGGTGGCTGCTTGTTGATTTTCAAGACCTAAGTCAAACAGATCCATGGCCTTGCTGACATATAGGAGGCTGTTTGGGTCATATGTCAGACAAAACTTCTCGCCCGCATGGTCTAAATATGTCTCAATTAAGAAGTCCGGACATAATGCAGGCGGCTTTGTCGGATCAGCTCTCCTACGACCAAACCGTTGCTCCCACTCGGGCCCGGACCGATATGTCACCGTGGCGATCTCTCTGGCTAACTTCATTCCGGCGTGCGGCGGGACTTTGCCATAATAAAACCCGCGATTCCAGTTAGGGTCCATCATGAGTACTTGGCGCTGCGTGTGGCGCATTGCAACACTGTAGGGATGGCTTCGTGCGCAGCCGCTGATGGATACTATACGGCTCACCCTTGAAGGAAACAATACACCGGCTGCCAGCGACTGCATTCCTCCCATACTAGATCCGACACTTGCGTATAGTTTCTCGACGCCTAGATGATCTAAAAGCCGGAACTGTGCCCTCACCATATCCTCCATCGTAAGTATTGGAAACCGAGTGGCATATCTCCGACCGTCAGCAGGATCAATGCTGCTTGGCCCAGTGGATCCGAAACAGCCTCCAATGACATTTGTACATATCACGAAATACTTATCCGTGTCGAGGCAGGCCCCTGGACCGATAAACTTCTCCCACCATCCAGGTTGAAGGTTGCTTTCGGTCGAGTGGGCATGCGACGAAGCGGATAGACCCGTATGTAGTAATATCACATTGGACTTGTCTGAGTTTAGTTTTCCCCATGTTTCGTAGGCGATATCGAACTTCGGTAGTGTCCCTCCCCAGTCTAACGAGAGAGGATCTTCGCAATGGAATACCTCGGTGGCTCCGGTAGTATATGCGGGTTCTGGCCCCGTCGAGAGAGATTTCGCCTCTAACGTCGCCGATCGTGTCTCTATCGCATCGAGGCAAGGAAATGCCATAGCAGGGTTGGAGGCTTCTCCTTGGCTTGTGCTAGCACGCCTAGGAGGCTGAGAATGCAGCAGTCGCGTGCCATACTGTAGAGAGGGAGTTCTGAGTGATGCTAATGGCGAAGGCCGAGTTCGGAGTAAGAAGGTGGGAGGTCGCGCGTTGATGATGGGCTGTAGAATGGTAGAGGCGCGTCGCAGGTCTGCCGCGCTATGACCTCGGATTCTCATGATGACTTATTGAATAGCAGGGAGGTATAGAAGCCCAGAATGGACAAGCTGCTTCGATATCGGTTTAAGATCCATGATCCAAGTTTGAAGAAATTAGAGCTTAGCTTGCGTAAATTGAATAGTGCTATCTCACGTGTTTTTTTTTCTTCTTTAAACTAGTTGGACTTCTAGAACATGGAATCACCCCGCTTCCCCCGAATTTTAAGCTATAAGCGCTAGTATACATAATCGATAAGAGAAATACATGCCTTCAAAAACTTATGATGTCACGAAATGGCATACGTAATGCCTACGCCTCTTGGTAGCATTTATCGTGAGATTGATTTGCCTGACATAAGAAGTTTGTGTTACCAAGAGGTATGAGAACCGAATGGAAGAAACCTGGTTGGATGTAGGATGTACCTATCATGCATGTAGGCAATGCATTACGCCGTACATGTAATAATCAAATATTAAAATGACCTGTACAACAATTATCCTATTTCTTAGGTACCTAGTGACATAAATATGTTAGTTCGCCGAGAAACTTGACGTAGGTATTTAGATGCTCAATTACCTATTAACCACGAAAGGTTCCAGTTTTTTATAGCTGTACTTCTGCCATCTCCACTTATTCCAGGCTGCGGTAGGGCAGGTACTGAACCGCTTTATTAACTTTATTAACCCCTCCTTCTTTCTTTGATCAACATGTTTGACCTTGTTGACGTTATCTTATTTCTCTTAATTTCAATAGTCTTTAGCTCTCAACTCCTCAGTATTCGTAATAGAACTATGGATACTCCAAACCCGCCCATCATGTTTAACCCTAGGGGAAGGAGACGGCCTCTGATACCAAACTTGAATCGACACCAGCCTCCACGTGAAAAGCCGCGAATCTTCACAAGCACCTATGAGGTCACGCCAGAAGATATAACCGAGGTGAAAGATATTTTGGTAAAGGCTAGGAATCTACCTCTCGAACTTGTCGATATGATCTTAGACAATGCCGAGTATTGGGTTTGTTGTTCCACCATCATCGATCATGACGATTCCGAGTCGGGTCGGATCTCCATCCATGGTGCACGTGAAGGAGAAACCCAATTTCTGGTCAGTAAGGCTTCATAAGAATTTTAACTTTATCTTGTTCTCAGCTGATGTGTGTGTGACTATAGCTTCGCACCAAGCCGCTTGGGCTTACTAAATGGTTACCTTCTAGCCAAGATCTGTGGAGAGTAGAAGCTACTCCTAAGCAGCTCGAGGAGGAATACCCTCAGTCTGATCTGCAAAAACTTGCAGAGGGTCCTCTGCCCACATTAGAGCATCCATTTCGAAAAGTTGTTTTCGATATTGAGAGTTGCGACCAGGGTTGGAGTAGCCATCACGACGATCATGGCACTTATCGCAGCTCCTTTACGTGGTTTGAGGCGGGGTTAGAGCGCTTCGATAAGAACAACGAATGTGAGAGAAATTCTAAGCCACATTGGAGACGTAACCTGCGTTGCTTACTTAACCATACAATAGGCCTGCCGGATTGTCCAGATCGGAAAAACAACGATGACTCAAATGGTTTAGATATCCCAACATGCGCGATACGCCCGATTTGGCCCTCAGTGGTACATGACCAAGGCGGCACTGGTGGTCCACGGTATTATCATGATTTGCTTGGTGATAAGAACCGCGAGATTCAGCGCAACAAACACGCCGTAGGTGAATTACAACACCACCACGTCGAGTGGGCCTGGGATGACAACATTGATCCGGAATCCTTGGAGACGGAACGCCTAAATGAAATTGGTCGGGGATCAGGCACGGGTAACGGTGAGTTCGTTAGGAACTTGAAATTTGGGGATATGATCACTGTTTGGGGTCATGCAAGATTTCCGGGATGGACGAACAGCGTCAAAAAAGTCGGGGTCAAGGTTTATTGGACGCTATAATTTACCTTTCGACCCTGGGGTAGAGCTGTAGTGGTGTTCATGCTCCCTGCCACTAGGATATCCACACAATCCTTTTATACCTTATACCTTATACCTAAGTCACCAATAAAATAAACGAAGTGTTTGTCTTGCCACCGAACGTTCTATTCTATGAAGGGCTTCGTCTAACCGAAAAGCCTGGCTACATACATTATGCCTAAGGTACCTAACCTAACGTAACCGGGCCCCAGTATCTGATTCCTCAAGGAGGACGATAGAATGTATTATGCTAGAAAATTGTTCGCCTTCAACACCATTAATACGTCATGATACTGCCCTTACGCCTAGGAAGGGCAGGCTTACTTATCTTACTACAAAAATCTCGATTATAGTGCAATATAGATACAATAGTTATACGATCAAAGTTGGACTTTACCACCCTTAAGCTCCTCAAAGTCTTTGCCCCTGAATGGAACATATGTCTTCTCGCCAGGAGACAGCCAATAAATCGCATCGGCTTCTTCCCCATTTTCCTTCGCCGCCTTCTCAATGGCCTCCGGATCGATCCCCTCGGACCTCAGACGTCCCTTCTGGACCTTCATTGTTCCCGTGTACTCGAGCTGCTTGACGATTCTTAGAAATACCGGCACCGCGTACCGCGGGAGATTCGCATGACAATGTTCCGCCAGCCCCTTTAGATCTAAACCCTTTCCACTGGCTATATCCTCAGCCTTGATAGACGTCCCCTCCGCTGCAACGATAGCCGCGCATCCAGCTCGCCCGTCTGCGTTGGGAACTAGGACGCCGTACACGCTCGCCTCGGCAACTTGTGGGAATGCGCCTACGACGTCGCCGACTTCGGTTGTTGACACGTTCTCCGAGCGCCAGCGGAACGTGTCGCCAAGGCGGTCCGCAAAAAATAACCGGCCCTCCGCGTCTATGCGCATCGCGTCGCCCGTTCGGAACCACAGGTCCCCCTTGCTGAACACGTCTGCGACTAACCGCTTCTGACCGGCTTCCGGGTTGCCGTGGTACACTGGCGTTGCAGTCCTCGCGGGATCGATGCGGTGGATGGTCTCTCCCGGCTCATCGGTCTTGCATCGAATCGCGAAGCCTTTTGCGTCTCGCACAATATCCTGCGTGTCCGGATCGATGTGCACGCGCGCTTCGCTGCCGCCGTTGATCAAATGCCATAGCGGACCTCTTATAGCTATCGCGCCCCGCGAGTACTCGTTCCGGCTCGAGTTGCTAATCAATCCGACTCCATCCGTCGAGGCGTAAAACTCATAGATGACTTCAATGCCGAAGCGCTCCCGGAACGTCTCCCATATATCCGGCCGCAGACCGTTACCGTATGCTAGACGGACGTTGTTGTCGGTGTCGAGAGGGCTTGGCGGCGCGTTTAGCAGATACCTACACAATTCGCCTACGTATTGGATAACCGAGGCTTTCGATGAGCGGACCTCGGGCCAGAACTTGTTGTGAGAGAACTTGCGCGATAGGACTAGCGTGCTTCCTGTATGGATACATGAGGCGCAGGCGAGGCCCTGAGCGGAAGCGTGGTAAAGCGGAAGGCAGGTGTATAATCTAACGCCGGGCTTGATGCCTAGGCTGCCTCCAGCTTGCTTTAGGAGCACATAGCGTCCCCGATTTACGACTGTGCCTTTGGGTTTGCCCGTGGTACCGGATGTGTAGATAAGAGATGCTATATCGGTGGGCTTTATATTTTCGCGGCGCGAGGCGGGAAGCGGCTCGGTGTCTGTGAGAGCGCTTATAGATGAAGGGCTGTAGTAAACTGTCTGGATGTCGGCTGAGGTAAGTTCTTCTTCAACAGGGGAGATATGATGACGGATGTCTGAGTCCGCAAGCATGTACCGAGCACCACTAAGCTTGACGCAATGAATCAGCGACTCGGCTGTCAAGTTGTAATTTATGAAAGCCACCGAGGCACCAATTCCCTCCAGAGCGAACCAGAGTAGAAGATACTCGGGACTGTTACCGCCATTTAGCGCGACCATCTCGCCCTTCTTAATCCCCAGATCCTTGAGCAACCAATTGCCAACAGGTTGTAGGGCCTGGTAGAATTCACGAAAGGTCCACTCACGACCCTCGAATATGAGGAAGGTAAGATCACCCATGGGGGTATTGGCGCGATCCTCAAAGGTATGGTAGAGGAGCAGCTTTCCTTTCCGAGCTTCCTGAGCGATGTGCCTTAACAGGAAAGCAGCGCGCAGCTTATTGCTTCCCTGAGCTAAATCGTTCATTATATGAAAGCGAGCGTCCATGTAGGCCGCGAGGGCAACGCTACCCGCAGCGGCCGCGGCTATAGGAACTAGAATTGATCAGTATTGATTATAGCTATGAATGATTGAGATAGTTTAAGTCTATACTTACATGCCATTTTCAGATATTAGAACTAGATGATAATGTTTTTAGAGAGTTACTGGGTAAACATGGAGTTTGAGACCAAGATATTATCAAAACGTCGATCACAGTGCCAAGATTAACTTCTGGCTGGTATTTTGTCCAACAGCTCTCTTCATGTTCATTTCTAATTCGACTGTAAGATAGCACAGTGATACTGCAGATGACTGCGTGGCTTAAGAAGAAAGGAAAAGAGATGAATGTCTCAGATCGACTGGCCGAGGTAACTCGATCGTGTTCGTGACGTGAAGTGGGTAGGTCTCTAATACAGTAACACGTCGGGTTTCGGGGACATGATAAGGGGTAGATCCCGGAGCATGGGTCGGGACGGCATTCCGCATTTTTCACGTCCGCTAGAGTCGTACTCCTTACCAATCCTTACACTTCTCTCGGTGTCACCATTTGGAAACTATATACAGCTCAAGTATCGCCAGAAATTTTTTTGCATTAGGTACTTAACTAATGAAGTTGGTTGACGTGTTACACGCGTGGTCATCCTCACCCAAGCTGCTTTTTGCCTTAGTGCCTAATTTGACTTATACCTAGCCTGGGTTAGTGAAGCAAGCTGGTCCATTGTTTAATAGTACTCTAGGAAAACTACCTAGCAAGTGGATGATATAATTTAAACCCTGCAAAATAAATAAAGCGCTTTTTCGGCAGCGTAGCTAGACTTATCTGAGTCAAGATTGTTCTTACATAATATGTAATGAGGAGCTTGATAATAGAATGAGATCTTTAACCTAACCTAGACACTTTGGGCACTTGAAGTAAAATAGACTACTGGTGTTAGACTATTAGTGTTGTATATTTCTGTTTAGGAATAGCTTTCATTGAAAGTTGACTGAGAAGTATACCTACCATCTGGATAGCTCGTCAAATAGACAATGTCGTCTTCTTGCTCGATAACAAGCAGCATTAGATATCACTACGAGCAGGCACAGAGGAAAACCAACTATATTAGAAAATAATAATAAGATGTAGGACCTAAACCGAGACTATTGGTATATATATCTTTTAGAGAGTATGCAACTCCTTAGGTTAGGCAACTTAGTCTCCTAAAAAGGGTATATGTTATATTCTAGTCAACTAGGTATTATTAACTACCTACCTACGGCATCTATTAAACTATCCAGATAAGAAATAAGACGGGTTAATATAAACTTCTCACGGCAATGCTATAAGTAAAAGCTGGTAAGTAGGTTTAATTATATATAAAGTAGGAAACCGCTGGCTGTCTGAGGTCTACGTGTATTTAAGTCCCTAAGTTACAATCAAGTAATATCTAGGCCAGTAACAATATTTATTTTATTAAACAAGTACCTACCTACCTAAGTAGCATACCCAAGATAATAATTATAATGAGTTGGACAATCTGCAAAGTGTAGCATTGCTAAGGTGACTCAGATGGCTTAGATACCTTAGGTTAGGTAGGTACGTTAATATCTGAATAAACATATTTGAATAAAAGGCGCTACAAAGACAGCATGCTCCTTCCGCATTGCTTCCTACCTGGCATTTTGAAGTTCTTGACGTGTTGACGCGTCGACGCGTTGACCGCCTTCAATAACTTTTTATCGCCGCCTACATTCGGCAGTATTGCTCTGGAATTTCTTCACACTCTGAAATTCATCATTAAGGCATTTATTTTCTCCTTTGTGTCTTTTGCACTTCCTTAGCCAATTCTGTCCATTTACATCGTTATATTCTGAACAGAAAATGGCTTCCCAAGACAAATTCACATCCCGAAGCCCCCTCCTACGCCTACCCTGTGAGCTGAAGAGATATGTCATGGCAAACCTCAATATCACCTCCCTTTACGCACTTATCACTACTTGTAAAGAATTCTACGATATCAACAAGAGCTCCAAAGGCTTCATTCTTCGAGCAATCACTACAAATGCTCTAGGTGACGCCCTCCCATGGGCTATGGCCTTACACGCAGCAAGACGTGCCGACTGGGGAACAACATTGCCCCGACATTCTCGTGGTGAGCTTTTGGATCAGATACACAAGTTTGGCCGCAGATATCTCAATCGGAATAACAAGACATTGATTTACCCGGAAGACTTCTCTTTCTCCTTGGCTTCGGAGTTAATTTCTTTCCACTCCATCGTGGAGAAATTCTCTCTGAAGTTCATGGAGGAAACAACGTCGGACATGTACTTCCATTACTTTCGGGGCCACCCAATTCCAAAACCTACAAACACAGAAACTGGCAGAGTACAGCTTACTTTCTATTGTATGGAGATATCTCGGGAACTTCTCCCTTTCTACGTTACCCAACCAGACGAGCTTGAGGATAACGAACGACCATGGCAGATGCTCTGGCACTATTTCGCACCATGGGAGAATCGAATCGCCGAAGCGATTTCCTGTCTTTTCCTAGACAAACTTATTGATAATGCTGTCAGCCGAGGTAAGTCCAAGCTGGCTACATTATACTCCTATAATACTAAGGAAATATATAGGACTTATTATGATGGGAGGCTCAGCTTACTACGAGTGGTATACCGTTCTGGGATTACGTGGCTTTGATAAATTAGCCGACGACGAGTTTGTATCTCGCAATGCCGCCAATATCGAAGCTGGCCAGAAGTTCTTCCGTTGCGTTTGTTATTTCGCACTTGGTGAATCTGGTTTCACATGGTTGCGACCTGTTGGAGGAAACCTCATGGTTCGATCATTCAACATGGACCACCTCTTAGCGAGATTTCCCCAGGAAGAAAACGGATCATGTGATAACTGGTACTTCACGATCATCTCAGAGCAGCATAACCCTCAATATGCTGGTTTTCAGCCTCTTCCTGATGAAACTGTTTGGTGGGACCGTGCTCGAATCAATGCCGTATTTCCAGGTATTCTTCCCAGTATAGCAGAGATTCAAGATATGGCAGAAGGCAATGTGTACATTCAGGATTTCTTCGAGCCGGAGGTCGACTATTGCAAAGAGATTGGCTATTAGGGAACGGACTGGATAGCAGACTTCGCATTTCGTACTTAATATGTACTTAGTACGGCTGTCAAGTAGTCGAGTTCCTCCTCGTTGAAGTTTGGAAGGTTTCAAGGGTCGTCGTTAACATACTGGAACGGGGCCAACCCAATAGTTAGTAAGGCAACGGTGATCTGGACATGAGGTGGTCGGTTTATGGTATGCTGTGAATGAATCAGGGTCCTCTAATTCATTACCTGGGGTGTCGTAGTTGTAGTAGGTAGTGGGTTTATCGGACATATATGCTTTTGAGGGCATGGAGACGCATAATATATGAGCTTCATGTATTCTATGAATGCATAATACAGCCAGAAATATCAAAAGCTTCGAGAAGAAATTTATATGTTGACTATTAAGTGGCAACTAACCAAGAGGTATTCGCATTATCAAGTACTTTCCACGACCCCTATTCTCACATGAGGCGATCTTGAATACAAGCGGTACGTCAGCGTTTAACTGATCAGTACATAAATATCTAGCTTTTCCAAGAATAACAATATCAATAGATAAAACACTACCCTTTTATCCAAAGCCATTACTTCCTCAAGCTGACCCGACACGGATAACCATCGGCAGGATGCGCCCCTCCGGATTGCGTCTGGTAAGCGCGTTCGCCGTTAACACTCTTAACCTTGCTCGTAGGGTGCAAGCGATCCCGTTCATCATACGCATGCCTAATGTCAAACTCACGCATGGTAAGCGCCAGTGTGATTTTCACATCGAGCATAGCTAAAGTTTGACCCAAGCAATTTCGCGGCCCATGCTCAAAGGGGCGCCAACCCCCCTTAACGGGGTACAGTGGGTCGCCCGGCTCCACGAGCCAGCGCTCGGGTATGAATTTCATTGCTGAAGGCCAGTATTTCGGGTTGCGTTGTACGGCTGAATGTAGAATCCACATATTTGTTCCCTCGGTCGGATATCTGTTGCCCTTGTCGTCCTGGAGATATACGCCGGGTTGGCCGCCACGCATCGCGGACGCAGGAGGGAAGAGACGTAGGGATTCTTTAATAACTGCCGTGGTGTAGGGGAGTTGGTTGAGTAGATGGGGCTGTTCGTGCATTGTGTTGGCCGTTTTAGTAATGACAGTACCGAATACGGCATCATGCTCGGCGCGAAGCTTGGCCATGGCTTCGGGGTGAGATTGTAGGAGGTAGAAGCAATAGCAGATTGTAGACGATGTAGAATCATGGCCAGCAAAGAGGAACAGGCGTATTTGCACTGTGGCCCAGTCCCTGAAAGCTGGGTCAAGTTTCTTGGGGCGCGGCTTGTCCTTTTGCTGGGCCATGTAACCTGCTAAGGCAAGATGGATGATAGAGCGCGACGAAGCGGCTGTCTCATCCTCGGTCCATTCGGCATACCGCTTGTCAAGTTCCTGGGATATGTAGTTGTTCATCTGGTAGCTATTGTACCATTGCACAAAGGGGCGAGCTGGGTTCCATCTAATTAGAAGATTCCACTCGTTGTCAAGGACATGCCAACGAATTTGCCGGCGCAATGCCGATGCTAGGGGATTGAACTGCTGTTGAGAATGGAGTCGCGAGTCTAAGGTTACGGCACCGATAACATCCATCATGTACCAGCAAGTCACATCGTCTAGAGAGAACATTTCACCTATTCGAGCATGTTCTCTCAAAATATCGACGTAGACTTCAGCCTCATCTACAACATGAGACGTCTGCTGTAAAATGTAGCTGGCACTAAAGCCTGAGTTGAAGAGTGAACGAGAACGCTTCCATTCGGGCCCATTCATGGTGAACAAGTTTGCGCCGCCAGCTAACGGATTCAAAAAGGCATGCAGAATAGGCGACTTAGGCAAGTCGTATTCCTGGCAAGCTTACATAGCAAGCACGGGTGAGCAAATAACCATCATAGGGTCAGCGAACGGCCACATGTCTAGATAGATAATGGAATCGGCATCCTTTTTCTCATTCGCACGGCACAGAGCCTCAAAGGCATCAGGCTGCTGTGTATCTTCAGGTAGCGTTTTCATAACTGGTGGAACGGCAAGGAGATGTCCTAGGATGGAATTCCATGGTGGCATCGGCTACGCGGCAATCTCATTAGAACTAGCAAAAGCGAGAAGAATCAGACAATCATACCATTCCTTGCTGGCGGAGACGGTAGAACGTAAGCCGGGCTTGATAGCCTTTGAATAGTAGATAGACAAGCGCACTGGCACAGGCAACCAGCCCAGTCGTGGTTACATGTCCCGCACCGAATAGCTCGTCGCCGATCATAGTAAAGCCGAGGTTATAAGTAGCGGTAAAAGGAAAGAGTAACAAAACCTAATTTAATAACTTACGAAGTGAAATAATCTCTTAGTGATGTCGCGGGTAGGATTACCTACATGCAAGGGATGCCCATATCGCTAGGATGTAATTCTATCAAAGAACCAACGGCGCCATTACCTACCTATTTAATTAGAAAGCACGAATCTTCGATATATTACGACCAACTAAAGGTTGAAAGCGAACCATCTTGTAGTCGCTCTATGAAATGCTCCGAGTTATGTAATTTATTGCTGATGCGAGTATTGATGTGCGTTCTATATGTAAAGTTGTCTTTGACAATCAAGATGCGGAATTATCATTACTATCCGATTCCTTTTCATTTTCAACTTGTGACAGTAGTAGTAGGTAGTGATAAGCCGTTCTAGAGCCCTATTGGGGCTGTGTATATTGACTGGGCAGTAACTACTCAGGTAGTGAAGGGGAGTTCACTAAGCACTTGTTTTGCTACCTTGGGTAGATTGAGGGTTTAGATTAGTCGGTCTCGACGGAACATAATCAAGGGGTTGCCTCTTTAGCAAGGAGGTCGCCCACATAACGGCGTTCTTCTCTAATATAATCATCTTGATGCTAAATGAGTGGTCAAGAGACTGCTGTTGGGTTTATTGGGAGGTATTTTAGTAAGTAAGAATATGAGGTATATAATCTAGCCAGGTAATATAGGCACCCCTTTTCTTGTAATTTAATTATTCAAGACATCTCGTATTTATAGGTAGGCCGACAGTCCTGTGCCGACATTTAAGGCGCTTTCATTCTTGCGCGGAAGGGAGAAGGTGATCTGAGGGCTAGATATAACGAGTTTCTTTACCGTTGGAATACTGGAGTGGAAGTCTAGACAATCGAAGAAACTCTGGACTCCGGGTAAAGTTAAAATCCTCGAACAGCCTAGGAACTATAGTATAGTTGATTTTGGGTTTCATGGTAGATCAGATTCAACTGCTATACGAAAGAGTTGTCTCATTGTGGGAATGACAAGCAAGATAAGTTTACTATTACCGATTTCAATAAGGTTGAAAGGTTAACGGTATGCATTGCTTATATCTCTGTCTGGCCAATTGTATAATTACGTGTTAATTTACTAACCTAGAGATAGGTTTCTTAACCAATGGAAATATAGGTTCGAATGTAAAGCAAGGCCGATATCGGCTAGTTTGCCTAAGATCTAAAAACCTGTACTTCTCTAAAACGGCAAGACGGGAGCTCGGACGTTGGTGGATCACCTCCGCACCGGCAATCCTCGGCTTCCGTAAAGGGACTCTATCGGGCAGCTCAAAGGTTCCCTTTTTCAATCTAGTTTAATATACAACGTTGGATCTGTGATCTAATTCTCCAATACCATAAGATATAGTAATCATCACCATTTAGAGGTAGAATTGTTTTTATAAGCCTGGCCCCACCCTTTTATTGAAACTCGATTGAAAATCTCACAGCCCTTCTATTGACAGATCATATCTACGCTGTAGCGGAGAGCCGAGTCGTCATCACCATTCATCATGGGCGCATATTTCGAAGAAATCCCAAAACAAAGCCTCATCGATTGGATGTTGGCCCAGAAGGTTTTCTGGATAGCTACAGCACCACTATCGGGGAAAGGACATGTTAATCTTTCACCAAAAGGGGGCCAGTATTTTGGTGTCCCCGACACTAAAACTTTTTGGTTCTTGGATTTGACAGGAAGTGGAAATGAGGTTTGCTATGGCTTCTTCAATCAAGAGATCATGCAATTAACTAACCTTGAACAAGACTATATCACATCTTCTGGAGCCGGGTAACGGTCGTGTAACTATACTATTCAATGCCTTCGAAGGGCCGCCCCGTATCATGAGGCTTTGGGGCAAAGGCCGCGTACTTGAAAATGGAACACCGGAGTTTGACAGCATTGTGCAAAGGGAGAATATCGAGGTCCTCCCAGGCACGCGGTCGGTCATCGTAGTAGACATCCACCAAGTCGGCACCTCATGCGGTTACTCGGTGCCAATATTCGACTTCAAGGAATTCCGGACTACCTTAAATGACTTCTTCAAACGCAAGGAAGACAAGTTCCTCGAAGGTAACGAGAAAGAGAGTATGGACCGCTACTGGGCCCTCAAAAACGCTTGGAGTATGGACGGACTCCCAGGTATGCCGCGGGGTCTGAAAGCCGCCCGTTCCTACGCTATTGAACCTATCAAAAAGATGGTTGGACCCCTAGCTCCCAAGAACGGCGTAAACCTAGGAGCGCGCAGCGGATTCCTACTTGAACATTTTATCATCATAGTACTAGCTCTCCTGCTCTCTCTTGCGTTGGCTACGCATCCTTCTTTTCAGCATCATGCCCAGACACGAATACGGGATGTGATACTACAGGTCAAGGCCGTGCCAGGCGCGCTTCCGAGTTCTGTCAGGTTTAGGGAGTAATAATTGACACGGAAACGAGTACATATTGCACCACCATTTTCTGAAGGGTGCAGATCGACTTTATAAGAGTCTGATGCGGAAGTATTGGGTACGCGTTCGTTAATATTTTATACTAGGCACTTAAACTGACCTCAAGCGTGAATGCTCTTCTAATTTCGTTCCTGTGAATCAAATCCTGTATAATATTTTAATTAAAATGCTAGCTTAGGCCAATGCAAATCGGACAATAATTTTTGCCCGAGTTAACATTCATATAAATCGTGCCCGTATGAGCTAAAGTCCACCAATACGAAGGCCTCAACGCTCTATAATACGTGATTCAAAAAGCCACCATTCACGCTGACCAACTGTAGCTGGTATATTTAAGCTTCCCACCTGATCTCTTTCCAGTCAATGTGGTAGATAGCTTGGGTATCAACATGTGTCCCGCTTGCCGATGGTTATTACTAAAACCTCCCTCATAACTAACGTATCCCACTATAGTCTTCCACAAGCAAAATGCTAACCAGTTGCCCACCCCCTTAGCGCCGTGTACTTGTTCGGACTACAAGGGCGATCATCATTCAACACCTTATGCTCCGGAATCGCGCCGTCCTTCGTTGGGATCTGCATAAAGATGGTTTCTGAGACACCCGGGAAATAGTTGCCATGGCCCTCGCGGCTGACCTCCGAAGTATCCGTGGCAAATAGCAGACCCATCTCTCCCGGTGTCGTCGTGACGGTGACAGAACTATTATCCGGTAGTGTTATAACCGCTAGTCCATTGAGGACAACAATCCATCTGCTTTATGTGAGAACTCTACTCATCAAGCCTTACCTGGGACTAGGTAGTATTTCTAAATACTGAAGTATAAAACACTTACTGGTTCCTAGGTGTATTATGGACTCCGCTGTCAAAACCCGCCGGGATCACGTTATACGTAATGTTAGTAACATCCCCTAAAAACGTAGTCTGTGATCCGGCGATACCCGTTTGGCTGGATGAGACAAATGGAGCGGCAAGCTCCCAGCATTCAAACCGGGAATTGCCATCCTTAGCGCCGATAGCCGTTACGTTGAGGCTAGTTGCTAGCACTATGTCGAAAGCAGCGAAGAAGGATAGGTAAAGCGAGGAAAGACTCATCGCCATCTTGTCAGTGAGGTATTGAAGTGAAATCGAAGTCGTCTCGGGGGACTACCGATGTAATCTTTCGAGGAAATCTGTCAAAGGATGTGGCTGACGACCGAAGGACATTTAATCCTATCAGTCACCCGACAAGGGTGTCAAAATGAGTCCTCTATTTTGCTGATGGATCCAAAGGCCGAGGATGAGTTTTATGGCCCTGTACCGAATTATCGAAGTTACGATAACCTATTTGGCATTATAGGATACGACGTTATCTAATACTCATATAAATTGAGTAAAGACTTGCTAGAACGGTATTTTGTATTGTACTCGGCTTAATCCGTAGTTAGGTGGGGTTATTTGGGATCCATGCGTACATTTTCTATTACAACCCTTATACTGCTACCTACATACTACATACTACATACCTACTACCTCCTGGCTTATACTACATTTAGTACCTCCGCGTGATACGTGTCTTGGCTTAGGAAAGGCTCGGAGAATCCTTTAGAAGAGCTATTTCTCGTAGAATTGGCGTATAAAAACACTCACAGCGTTGAGGGCCACTTACATACGTCTGTGGTTTTAACAATACATACATAGAACGTTGAATCAACCGCTAAATAGCTTACCATGGGCGAAGTCTCGCTAATACCCGGTAATCCGGAAAGCCCCTGTCAAGCCCCATATGACGTAAATATCTGCTGTTACTAGCCCTCACCGCCAATATCAGAATCAGCCAATACGCGACTCGACGTTCATCAGACGAATCAGGAGCTGGCAGGTCTAAGTTGTGCTTCCCGTTAGATTAACGACGGGTATATATTCAACTAGGTAGTACCGGCCTTTTGTACAATACGTTCGAGCGCTCTAGGTTAGTGATCTTTACGAAGGGAAAAACTTAGACCTATGAGGACTACCCACCTTCTTGGTTTAGGCATATTGGTACTTGTCGAGCCGCAGTATTTGAACAAGGTTACATCGTGGTATGGATTTATTGGGTGAGGGGTTCTTATTGGCATAGTGTACATATATATACCGCCCGAGGCATCCGGGCCGAGAGGGGACTATTTTCGCATCCCGAAGGCCCAGCCCCCAGCGGAAATTAATAGCCGGGTCGAATAATCAACGATTATAAATGCAAACCAAATCGTGAAATAATTATAATAAAAGTATATAAACTATCTTTAATAATAAAGGTCAAATAATCAGCTTATCATTTTTCTGATTTTCTATGGCTTTTCTTATTGTATTTATCTGAATATAACATGTGGTGTTGAATTTGGGGTAAAATGCCAAGACCCGGCCATTAATTTCTGCTGGGGTAGCTATGTACATACCTCCCACACTACCTAGGCGGGTACCCGATTAGGTACTAAACGGTCAAGCTCTCGGATGTACTAACCTCTGATGTACGTGATGTAAGAGTAGAGTACATACCTACATTACGTAAGTATATTGATTTAATTTCAATTGGCACATGGGCTACCTGCAAGTCAAGTGCTTTAGCGCTAACTTTAATTCTTCCCTTTGAACGTACATGTACCTAAGGTATTTTATATGTATCACATAATCCGGACCAGAGGAAATATCTTTCAAAGTGGACCTAGTTATTTGATACATATGTACACTATTCGCGTAAGTTGAGCTACACCATTAATAGTTTAGCTGATCCGTGGTCTAGACGCATAGCCCAAGCTTTTATGTATGTATGTATATGTAACGACATGGGTACCTGGCTTAGAGTTTCTTGCTTCACCTCGCGACATCTTCAACTCACTCCTCTTGAAGGTATACCTCCTCAAAGGATATACCATTCTCAGCCGTACTGCTACAATAGTCTCTAAGATGTAACACGGGTATTTACGTTATCTTCTGCAACCTAAGGATGCTCCCTGTCAACGATTAGGTCAACGCACTTAAAGGGGTTATTATTATGCGTCGGGCCGCAGCTATAAAAACTCCCTTATGTAAACTCACCTCTGCATTATGTCCCTTTCTTGTTAGGTTCTTCAGGGCAGCAAGTCATAGTCGTTATCAAATTTGGTTGGGCTTTCTGCATCGGGTTGCAATTGAGGTGCGATTCAATGCCAGGTCTACTCGAGGGTAAATAAGGTAAGGACTTCTTGTATGTAGATACACCAGCGACCTCAAGTCAAACAAGTTCATAATAATTTCGCGGCAGCATCGCTACGATAATATTGTATACTTCGAGCAGTAATATTACTAGAAAGCGGAGGGAAGCCAGGTCATAAGCGGAGGCAATGTCTTTTGGACAGCATTGTTCTTCTGGCATCTATTTAAAGCGGTATCATAAACCAATATGTCACATGTCAGGAATTGGCGCGTCCCGACACAAATCATTACTTATTAATCATTACTTATTATGAGTCTTAACACTCATCTTAATAGCAAGTACTGCGAAATACGAATATTAGCCCCCATGGCATTGATCTAGGGTTACTTAGTCGAAGTCCAAAGCTCACAGAGAGTATCATGGATATTGAAGCGCTGGGCCGACGCCATCCACCCTCTTGTTATGCTACAGTCACTATACCGTCAGTGGAATCCTTTACCAGTATTAATCCATTAGTAATTATCGTTCACTGCTTTCAAATCCATCGGCCTGCTCCTGGCTACCCGCAGTTCTCAGTACTCATAGGGACGCACCCAGCATTCAGCATTGCCCGCCGATTCTCTACGGTTCGAGCGCGGTTACAACGGACGAAACAGAACCGCGTCTCTGAATTGGAACTTGAGCCTCAACAGATAGACGCTCAAGAGAAGCGACCGTTATTTTAGGGACCTTCCAGGCTGACAAAAATGAAGCGCGACGCGACACTTTAGAAGCGCTTGGCCGCGCACTCGCGAAGTATGGTAAGTTGCTAGGTCCGCCGAAGATGTTAACGGGGATTAGGGACTTCCTACCGAATGCCTAGCAGATGCACTTCTAGAAATAAACGTGAGGGTTCTTCGATTGCCGGTAGCTTCCGATAGGAATATCTCCGGTCTCCGGAACTGGGTCACCGGAATAGGCAACATTTACTGCAGAAAAACGAGGTTTCTTCATGAACTGGATCTCTGTGCGGTTGGCGGCCACGACTACGGAATGGTATGGTTAGAATTACTTGTTGAAACTATCTCCATAAAGTTGTTACATGCTATGCTTTAAGAAGGTCCGAATACCAACCCCCCGAATTTTCTTACAAGCTGACAAGTTTTAGACATCTGGATGGGGCCAGATATTCGTCTTCTCAGAAAATATGCTTCGAGTTTTAACGAGTTCTCTGATTACGGTACTTTCCCTCGCGCTACTCCTTATCCCCGACATTGTCATTCCAGCTGTGGATAGCACAAGCTCCCAAATGTTTTGTATCTTGGTATAACAATTTGAATTCAGGGGCTTAAAATTGTACATAGGTACTCGCAGATAGGAGGTATTCTTCGGAATGTTTTACGAATTTTTATATAAAGCAGCCCCTATACTAGTCCGCCATAGCAAGCTACCTTTTAGTCCTCTGCATTCTTTAAGAGATGATCTGTTTCACCCGAGACACGGTTGGTCTAGGACCACTTGAACTAGTAGCTAGAAGACCCTCGGGCACTCGATTGAGACCTTTGTGAATCAGGATACGGCAAGGATTGTAGCCCTTAAGCCTGTGATTGTTCTTTTTTCTGAGTTGGCTGCAGGATAAAGGCGTACGATGCGCCGTCCCGGCGCACGCTTGGTTGCTCCTTCGCATGTTTTCTCATCCGGTACCTTTGATCCTGTTCCGACTCTAGAACGCTCCGCTCTTCTATGAGACATGTCAATGATCCCGCCTGTTCACTCTCGAAAAAGAGATCCTGGGTCGGTATTATTATCGAGCTGTTCTGAATCGACATCGGAGATAGCTTCCGCGCCGGGGCTTGTTTCATCAGATAAAGATCTTCATGCAAAATCCTGCTTTTTTGGTCTTTTTAAGTTAGCCATTGTGGGAAGGCAATGTTTGAATGGGGAGGTATTACGCTGAGGTTGAGAGTTGATATTTATGATTATTGAGAGATCATTGAAAGGTATAATTTCGGATTACCTTAGCGACGACGAAACTAGAGATACAAATGATAATAATATGAGGTATGCTCTTATTCTTATTGAATATCATGGTATCATGGCTATGGCGTGGCTATGTTAACCGCATAGTAACCCATCCATTCAACATGCATGACCCCTCTATATGTAACCCAATCAAATATTTCGATGCTTCAAAGTTATTGACTTCGTACCTAGGTAGGTAGGTACCTTGGGTAGTTATTGTGACATAGGCCTAATACTTCCGAGCACAGTATCAACCTTGTGATGAGTAAATACCTCGTAATTGGCGCCAACGCATCACACCATGTGCCTGGATAGCATACCTACCTCATAAAGACTAAGTCCTAAATATGGGACTGTTTAGTTATATTTTTCTAACCTAGAGCATTGTCCTAGACCGTTGATATTCTATGTATTTTCAATTTCTAACTAAGAATTATATTTACACTTGCCGCCTTGTTCAATTTGCTCGATATGGATATGATCGGATATGCCGCAATTGCGAATCTCATGTCAAATTCATCTGACCTTACCTTACTTCGTAGTTTCTCATCTCTTAACTATCAGAATATTCTGTACCTCCAGGCCGAATTGACGCATCTAGAACAGTTATGGCGAGAAAAGGAGGCGGAAATCCAAAATAGCACAAAGGAAGATATGAGAGAGAGGTCCCCTCATGACTGGGCAGAACTTCAGAAAGACGCAGAGGTTTGGGCCCAATTTTTACAGCTGAGAAATAAATTGAAGGAATATAGTGCGTTATTCTGGCCCCCCTAATGTCGTTCCGCTACCTAATCGAATAGTAGACGAGGCCTTGATCCAACAGCACACAGTTGCACATTTCGAGAAGCCGTCCAAGCGGAGTTTGAAAGTCTTGAACCACATCTTAGACGATAATTCAAAACGTGTCTTTCTAATTGGAAAGGAATGCACAACATGGTCTGACGCAGAAATCTCAAGTGACCTTGTCACTGTCGGTCCTGTGGAGAAGCTTGACAAGATTTCACTATTTTTAGTGGAATTGTACCTCAGCTTGAAATATAAGGCGCTTGGAACTTTTTTCCAAGAGAGTGATGATATCGTTCGCTTTGAGGGTAGCCAGCTGCTTCTCCCAACCAAGGTTCTAAGCGTTGTGCTATCTTCACTGTTACCTATTGCAGCTATATCGGTTCTATATCTCGTACAGTCGATGTGGAGAAGACTACTCATTTTGGCTGCTTTCACATCCGCATTCTCATTGGTATTGTCGTTAATCAATGCAGATTCTAAACGGTCTGAATTATTTTCTGCTACGGCTGCATATGTTTACATGCCGTTTAAATTAGATAAATGCTGATATAAGTTAAAGCACCCTTACGGGGGCTACCTTAATGGGGGCCACCTTAAATTTTTAAACTTTTAAAATAAATACCTTAATTTTAATTTAACGTTATTTAATTAAATTAAATTTAATTAATTTATAATTTATTATATTTTAACGACGATATAATCTTTTATTATCGATTTAATTAATAAGACTTTATTTTTTAAATTAGTGTTAAAATTATTAATTATAATTGTATTATTTAATTTTTAAACCTTTAATTATTCTTTTTTTTATAATAACTTTAATATTTATAAATGTTGAATTTAAGTTAAATAATATTTTACGTTATTTTTATAATTTTATATTTATTAATATTTTTTTTAAATATTTAACGTAAACTTTTATTATAATTAATTTTATAATAATTTTATTAAGGATTTTATTAATTTTATTAAATAAAAATTTTATTATAAATTTAATAAATATTATATTAATTTTAAATAATTTTTTAATTAAAATATTAATATTTTATAAATTTAAAAGCATTATTAAAAGGATTAAAGCTATATTTTCAATAAAATTAAATTTTTTTTAAATTAAAAATAAGATTTAAAAAAGTCGGGATAATATCGAGAGCCTTTTAAAGTATAAACCGATAATTTAACAGCTTATTTCAATTTTTAAAATAAATTTTTATAGTTTTTTAATCAGTTAATATATTATATTTAATTAAATATTTTTTTCGTATTATTTAATAAGTTATAATAAATTTTTTTTTACTGAAATTAAAAATATTATTGGTAGGTACGTACGTAAATAGGAATAACAATAATAACAATAAAATAATAGCAAATAAATTAATGGTATTAAAATTAATATATTAAGATATTTAAAGAAAAAAGAATTTATTTAAAGCTAGCTAGGTAAAGCATGTTCTTATATTTTAATAATAGTAGATATCTAACCCTTTTATCCAGTAAAGTCGGGTATCTTATCTCTTCCTTCCTTATCGACGATAAGGGTACTTTATCATCAGTAAGGTGCCTTTATGTCAATGTCACACAACCATCAAATATAATATAATTAACATATTTTAATAAATTTATAATAATAATTTTATTTTATTAATAAAAATATATTTATGTTAATAATTTGTAAAATGTATAATAAATATATTAAGATAAAAATAATATAAATTTTATTTATAAAATATTTTTAAAGGAATTTTATTATGGTATAATTACCATAACCGTTAAAAATTAATAATTATTATTATTAATAATTTAATAGTTTTATTTCTTTTAAAAAAACCTTATAAAACCATTTAAATATAATATCATTATTAATTTAATTATTAAAAAACATAATAAATTTTTAATCTTTAAATCTAACATTTTTATTATTAAAAAATCATTATTATTATATATATTTACTTATATATTATTGGTAGGTACGTACATAAATAGGAATAATAATAATAACGATAAAGTAATAATAAATAAATCAATGATATTAAAACTGATATATTAAAATATTTAAAGAGGGAAGAATCTATTTAAAACTAGTTAAGTATAATATGTTCTTATATTTTAATAATAATAAATATTTAACCCCTTTTATCCAATAAAATTGGGTATTTTATTTCTTCTTTTCTTATTAGTAATAAGGGTATTTTATTATTAGTAAAATGCCTTAATGTTATACAACCATCACTTATTCTATTTTCTTTTTGTAATTAATTAATTATAAAATATAATTAAACAAATAAAATTTTAAAATTTATATTAACGTATATTTATATTAGTCCGGATATATACTATTATGTATTTATAACTTTATACATCCATAATCGTACATATTTATAACGGTTAAAGGATAAAAACGTAATAATTTAAATTAGAAATTATTTTATAAATAAAGTTGCGTTAACATATATTATATTATTTCATTTTTAATATATTCTTTTTTATTTCTTATAATAGCTTATATTTATATTAATATCAATAATTAACCTTAACAACTTATTATTATATTAGTTTAATATTGTTTTCAATTTCTTTACGTTTTATTTATTTTTTTTAAACATAAATTAATTTAATTATTTTTTATTAATATTTTTATAGCTTTATTTAAAAACGCCTTTATTATTATATCTGCTAGATTATAATTGCTATATATTTATTAAATATTATTAATTTTCCTATTTTTATATAATTATTTTAAAGTTATAAAATTGATTATTAATTTCTTTTTATTAGTATTATTTATTTAAATAAAATATTAATATAATAAAAAAAAATCCGTATATAAAACAAAAAAAATTATTAGAAAATTTAATTAGTTTAAAATAGTATTAATAATATTATGGATAATGTAACCCACATTAAAACCTTACACTATTCTGTAAATCTTATTAATAAATATGTTATGTATAACGTATTTGTATTTAATAAAAAATTAATAAATAATATTATCGGTAAATTGTACTTTATTATTATGGTTTATAAATCTCTTATTATTAAATATTATAATATAACTAATTTAAGAGTTTATATTTTTGTTATTAATAAATAAACTGTTTATAAAAACGTATAAGCGTAGGTTTTAAGGATTTAATTTTATATATTTAAGGTTTTAATTTTTATAATCTATTTGCTATTTAATTTTTACGTTAAAGATTTTGGTTTTTTTTAGTTTAAATTTTGTATGTTACATTATCGTAAAATAATTAAAAACTACTTTAAATTAATAAATAAACGCAATATAAATATTTTTTACACATTATTTTATAAATTTTTTAATTATATCAAATATTTTTAGGTTTAATTTTTTTAACCTTTTTATTTATCCTTTTTAAATAGTAAAAATTATTTTTTTATAAATTATAATTTATAATTTATTAAAATCTTCAACTATACCTAATTCCAAAACTTTTTAAAATTTCGTTTTAATATTTACCTTTACAAAAACCTTATTCTTTTCGACTAAAAATTCTGTTATACCAATATTTAATATATTATTTATTTATAAACTAATAATTTTAAATAATTAATTTAACTTTATAATTAACAAATATAAATTAAATACTAACAAAATTATACTTAATTCTTTTTAATAATACTTAAAATAAGTTTTAAATTAATATATATTTAATTTTATAAATTTATATAAAAGTTTAATTATTTATAATAACATTTCTTTAAAATATTTATTTTTTAATTTTAAAAATAAACATATATATATTATCCTTTATATAAAAATTTTAAATTATATATACGTTATGGTAATATTTTAAATTATTACTTTTATATTTTATTATTATAATATAAATATTAAAGTTAATATTAAACGTTGGTTAATGCGTTAAATTATTAAAATATATATTATAATAAAGTTTTTATTAAGATTTTTATAATTTTATATTATAAGTTATAATTTTTTATATAATATTAATATATTTTTTTCTTTAATTTTACAAACCATATAAAATTTAAATATAATTATGTTTTAGTAAAATATTTTATTATATATTTTAAATTATAAAATATTGTTTGTAAAAAAAATATTAAATTCTTTTATATTAAAGGCCTTATATAATTTTCTTAATATAATTATTTTTTTATTTAATTGTAATTTTAAAACGAAAATATAATTGTTTTTTTTTATATTAATATATATTATATTTATAATAAATATATTTAAATTTTTATTAAATATAACCTTATATTCATTAAGATTAAATTAAGATGGTAGTAATAGTAAATAAATTTTAAAACTTTTTTTTAACTATATATATAATTTAACATATATATTTCGGAAAATTAAAATACCTTTTAACGTATTTAATATGATGGTTACATTTTTATTTATAATAATAATAATTTTATATAGTTTTTTTTATTTATCTTTTTTACAATAAACTAATATGTTATTATTAATAAATAATAATATAAGTAATATTTTTAAAATATTTAATTTATTTTATGTATTTATGGTATTATAAATGATTTTTTACGTTTTAATTTTTTTAATTTTAATTATAACCTTTTATACCACTTAAACCTTTTCCAATTATAATTATATAAAAAAAAAATTTATATTAATTTTTGGATAAGTGTTAAAAATTAATAAAATAAAAATAAAACTATTTAAGTTTACCATATTATTTACAGTTTTAATTATTATTTATAAGTAAATTTTTTTTAACCCTTATATTTTTTCGGAAATAATTTTATACATTTTTTAAATTAAGTTATAATATTTTTTTATTTTATTAATTAACCAATATATTTTAATAAATATTTAATTATAAATAATTTTTATAAAATAAACTTTATTATAAAATTTAATATTATTAAAATTAATATTTATATTATAATTAAAAACATCTGGTAATTTTAAATATATATTAATTTAATATTATTTAAATATTTCTTAAATTTCTTTAATAAAAATATTTTTTATAAATTAAATTATTTAAAACCTTATTATTATATCGATTATATAAAAAATTAATTTCCCGTCCAAATATATAATATTGATAATTATTTTGTAATTAAAATTTATATTAAAATCTTTAAAATTAAATTTAAAACGTTAAGGTGTTTTACCTTTAACTTAATAATAATAACAAAATTTATTAATTTTTTTAAAATTTTCAATACTTACCTTATATCTTATTTTATTAAATAAATTATAAAACTTATTAATAAATAAATAATTAAAATGTATATATAAACGGCGTAATTTTACTTCCGTAAAATAAATAATATTATTAAATTAAAATTATAAATATTTTTATTTTTATATAATTTTAATTATTACGTCATTTTTACCAATTAATTAATTAATAATATTATTAAGGTATATTCTTAAATAATCTATATTTTTAATAAAAAAAAATTGGAATATCCATTTTTATTATATAAAAATCTACCTTATTAAATAAAGTATTAATTATTATAATTTTTAATAATTTAATAAACAAATCATTTTTAAAATATATATTAACTTTATTAACGTAATTAATATTTAAATTGTTATAATATTTTAAATTTTTATTAGTAAAGGTTTAATATTAACCCTTACTTACGGTTAACATTTACGTTACTTTTATATTTAATATAATACCTTAAAATACGTTTTTTGCGTATTAATTAAAGATAAATATAATATTAATATTAAATTTATTAATAGATTTTTCAAAGATTAATATTTATAAATTAAATTAATATTAAAAAGATTTATTTAAAAAATAAGCTGCAATTATATATTAATTTTTTGACTTTTTTTTCTTTTTTAATAAATTTTTTAAACTTTTCTACATTAAAATTTTTAATATTTTTATATCTAATTAGGAAAATGATGGTCGTGTGATACTGACATAAAGGCACCTTACTGATGATAAGGTGCTCTTATCGTAGATAAGGGAGGAAGAGATAAGATACCCGACTTTATTAAATAAAGGGGTTGGATATCTATTATTATTAAAATATAAGAATATGTTATATTTAGCTAGCTTTAAATAAATTCTTCTCTCTTTAGACATCTTAATATACTAATTTTAATATTATTAATTTATTTGCTATTGCTTTATTGTTATTATTGTTATTCCTATTTACGTACGTACTTACCAACAGAAAATTATATAATTTTCTTTTATTTAATCTTTTTTAATTTTTTATTAAGCTTTAACCTTTTTATATTCTTTTTCTAAATATTTAATTAACTAATATTTTTTTTTATATATTTAATAATAATATTTTTAATATTTTAATATTTTTTAATAAATATTATATTTATCACCTTTATTATTATAATAATATTTTTGATTAATATAATATTAATTAATATTATATTTATTATTATTATTATCTTCGTTATTAATATTTACCATAAATTAATATATTTTTTTAAAATTTTTAAATGTTTTAATAAATATTTAAAATTTATTAATTAATTTTTTAAAATAATATAATAAAATGAATAATATATATTATAATTAAGGTATATTATAATATATTTAATATACAATTATAATAAATTATTATTTTCTTTTAAAGTTAGGTTTAAAAATATATTAATATAATAATAATTTATTAAATATAATTTATAATACCTTTATATTAAATTTATTTTTATTTTTTTTTTAACTTTTATATTATAAAAAATAATAATTATTTAATTTTGATAATATTATATCTTATTTTATTTTATATTAAAATATTATTTTATAACCATATATATATTTATAAAATATTAATATTTGGATATATTATAAAAAAAGTAAATTATTGTTTTTTTGGTAAAAATAATAGAAAATATAATATAAAATTATATTTATTAAATTTTTATTATATAATATACATTTAAAAAGAATTAAAATTTATTTTTAAAGATATTATATATTTTTTTTATATAATTATTTTTATTATTTTAAATTTTTTTAAAATAATTTATAATAATTAAAAAGTATATTTTATTAAAGATTTATACCGGAAGAATATTATAATAGGTTTAAATTTATTAGTTATTAATAAATATAAGGATTTAAACGAAGAGATTAAATATTTATAAAAATAATGGAACCATTTAAGAAAAGAAATTATAATCTTTAATAAATTAATTTTTTCCATTTAATTTAATATTTAATAAAACTATTAACGTTATATATAAATTATCTGGTAGCGGTTTAAAAGGTTTAAACATATTTCTTATAATTAAGGGAAGAAATTACGCTTAATTAATTTTATATTTAAAATTATATTTTAGGTTATATCTTTATTATTTTATAAAGAATACAAATAATTTTTATTAAATTAATAAAAGAAAAGGAAAGGGGTTAGATAATGTTTAAATGTTATTTTAATTACTTTATTAAAATTATATAAATTATTATAAATAATTTAGTATAATTTACAGTAATAAGTTTAGATTAAGTATATAAAAAAAGGGAAAGGGGATATATATTAAGAATAATAATTGGTTAAAAAGTTAGAAAATAAATCCCAATTGTTAGATTAATAATAAAATGTTAAAAATTAATAAAAATTAATTAAAAATAAGGGGTAATATTTATTTTAGTTATAAAATAGGTAATATATATTATAAATTAAAAAAGGATGAAGTTTAAAGCGTAATATTTTATATTAAGATTTATTTTATAAGTATAATTATATATATTAACATTTATAAGTTAAAAATTGTTTAATGTTATTATATTAATATTTATAATTATATAAATATATATATAATAAGATATATTAATTTTTTTTTAATTTTATAAACTGAAATTTTTTATATTAATATATTAAACCATTTTATTTTTATTATTTTTAATTTAATAATATTTTATATAAATAAATTATGTAATAATATAAAATTAATAAATATCTTTATATAATTAATATTATATCTTCTTATATAAATACTTTTCTACATTAATATACTCTATAATATTAATTATAATTATTTTGATAATATTTTAAAATTATTTACCGTAAATTTTTTAAATTGTTTTTAATATTTAATTATTATTTTTTTAATTAAATATATATATAATATTTTATTATTGGTAATTTTAAAATTTATTAATATAAAAAATGCCTATGTTATTTTTTATTTAAATATAATTATTTAAGGATTAATTTTTTTTATTATATTATTATATAATTAAATATTATATTAAATATAAATATCTAATTAAAACAATAATTTAAAAATTTATATAATTTATTTATATTTTCTTATTTAATAAAATTGTATATAATGTAAATTTATGTTTATGTTAAATTTTCTATTTATATTTTTTAAAATATAATAAGAAAAATTAATAATATAAATAATAATAACTTTATAAATAAAAGGTTTAAATTGTAATAATTTATTAAAAATATAAATAAATTATATAAAAAAATAAAGTTATAACCTATTATAAACTACAAAAATAATGTAAAAAAAAGTATTAATATTACTTATATTATTATAATAAAGATTTTTAAATTAAAATAATAATAATAATAATAAAGTAATAATAAATAAATTAATAATATTAAAATTGATATATTAAGATATTTAAGGAAGGAAGAATTTATTTAAGGTTAGTTAAATATAACATATTTTTATATTTTAATAATAATAAATATCCAACCCTTTTTACCCAGTAAAATCAAATATCTTATTTCTTCCTTCCTTATTGGCGATAAAGGCACCTTATTATTAGTAAGGTGCTTTAATGTTACACAACCATCATATATATAATAAAAGGATTTAAAAATTAATTATTACCATTAATGCATTTAATAATTAATGTTTAAATTTTATTATTATAATTTTTAATTATAATATACTTTTTATAAATTTCGTTAATAATTATTTTATTATTTTTAACTTTTTTTATAATTTCCATTTTATTAACGTTATATATATATTTAACCAAGATATTTTTAATTTTAAAAACCTCAAATTAATTAAAAAAAATATTAATATTATTAATTATAATCTTATTAATTTATTTATAATTAATTAAATAAGCCTTAATTAATTTAATATTAAAATAATAAAATAAAAATTATATATATTAATATTTATTAAAGATATTAAATTAATAATTATAAATTAATAATCTTTTTATAATATTTTTAAATTGATATAAAAAAAGCGTATAATTAATATAATTTAACGTAATAACTTAATTAATTAATTTTTTTTCTTAATATTTTAATAATTTCTAACGTTTTTTTAAATAATCGTTTTGTATTTTACAGCTTAATATTTGGTCTATAAAATAATATTATAATATAAGGTATTTTTTAAACGTTTACCGTAAAAATATACCGTTGAAAATGTCGTTTATTACCGCAACACAATACAATTAAGTTAAAAAAGTAAACATTTTAAAATCGTAAAAAAATGAGGATTTAAATAATAAGTTTTATTTTTTAATTGACTAAAAACTAATAAAATTATATAATAATTCGTATGTAAACCTCATCGCAAACGCGTTACGTTTTTAAGGTGGCCCCCACTAGGGTGGCCCCCGTAAGGGTGCTTTGACTTATTGGTAGGTTCACGGCGGTTCTAGTCGTCTTTATTAGTACGAATGGCGATTAAGATGACGATATCTCTATGCCATAGGTGCTTGGTAGGTATATGAGGGGAGTAAAATAGCTTTAAGTATATTATGTTATGGTAGCGATGCCAATGATAAACACTTAGATACCCCTTATATCGGCTTAGTTTTTACACCAAGTCCTCCAGTACGGCACATGTTGTCCGGGCTCCCACAGCAGCATATTTTCTAACCGAGCTGCAAATGTCGTATTAGGCATCTTAAAATCGATCGAGTTCTGTAACCCAGGACATGAAACCGTGCCGTTCTCCCAGGTAGCGAAAGCGGACGCGTTTACGTTTACACGGCCGCCATGCGGGTACTTCCATCTAAATACGTCGTCTAGCCCGCATACGGCGTAGTAAATAGCCGCAACGTCCCAGACCGGGTGCTCCTGGTCGTACCCGATGTTGGTACGCAGAGCGTATCCGAGCGGATTCTTGGTGGGGTCTAGCTCAGTGGTAATGCGGCGGCCGAGGATGGTGTTTTCGCCAACACCATCCCAGGCAAATGTCAATTTTCCCGGCCACCAGTTTAACACTTTTTGAGCGAGAGTTTCGTTATGTGCGTTCGTGTTATAGGAATATCCCACGTCGTTAGCTTGTACGACGAGTTCGTGTACTTTAGAAGCGAGTAGTTCAGCCCCTGTATATGGGGATATTTGGTCGGGGCCGGAGTTGAGGAGGTTGAACACATTATCGAAGAACCCGATTACAGCAAGAGTAATAGAATCGTCCGCTGATGTGGAGAGGAGATAACGGTATGATGAAACTGTTCGAGCGAAGCTGTATATTAGACGTAGGTCCGTTACACGTTGTAAATCTAGGTGAATAGAATCACTGCCGCACCTGGATCAGGGGTATTGGTTCCATCTCGCACATCTTCAGTAAAGTTATAGGTCAGCCCCGTAACGTAGGCTCCATACTCTGGGTACTCTGGTACTCTTGTCTGTGGCAGAATACATTAAAAACAATTTAACTTATTTCATTTCCTTGATTCATGACATACCAAGTTGTCAACAGGCTTCCGGATCGCTATTGGGATCTGCGGATACCCGAAGTAAGTGTTAATCGCATCGATAGCTGGAGGAACATATCGACTATTGACGCCTATATTCGTTGTTAGTATTAATGAACATACGCTACGTAGCACGAGGTCTAGAATTTAGAGGATATATACTTGACATGACTCCAATTAGTTCAACCTGTCCCCAGTTCTGAAGTATATCGCTTAAGCCAATTGCCAAGGGATCATCATCAAATGATAAGAGGTCCGTGTCGATAATGAGTCTTTTCTTGATAGACAAGGCAGTGACTACAAAGACGTGTAGCACCAAAAAGTTCAAGAACCTCATTTTGAAGACTTAGATATTTAGACTTCTAGAGAAAACTTCAAGATATATTACGGTTAGTCTGTAAGAGGTCGATGGAATATTAAGTTGTATCGCTTATAACGCGTCTGTTGACTAAATGAGGGATCAGATCCTTTGGATTTGGATCTAGTTCCGTTATCGTGGTGGATCCAACCGTACAATCAATAGCAAGCCCTAGATCTTGTGTATCAACAGCCTAGGTTAGCTTCTACAATACCCTAACCTAGCTGGTCCGTGATAACATCCTTGCAGGCATACAGCACGTGTTGAAAAAGAGTCTACACCTCATCCCAAAGTCATCCTTGACCATCAACCCAAAGTCTAACCCGATTTGGCAAAAGCTGGGGCCTTGGATCCAACATTTTAATTGGTTGCATTTGACGGGGTCCGCTTTGGGGTGAGCTTTATACGATTTTAAGGTGAGTTTTTAACGTTTTTAATCATTAAAATAAGGTTAAATGCCTTGTAATTACAGCACATTATAACCATTAAATTCCTTGTATTATAACGTTAAGTATTTAGGTTTTTAACGCGCTTTATTTAATTAATTCTTAATTAATTAAGAATTAATTAAATATGTGTTTACTTATTTTTTATTTTTTATTTATTTTAAAATAAACTTTTTATATTTAAATAAAATAAAAAAAAATTAATAATTAATTATATTAAATTTATTTATATTTTATTAATTTTTATAATATTATATAAAAGCATATATTTATATAAATATAATATTAGTAAAATAATAGTTAAGTTTTAAATGCGTTAATATTATTATGGTATAAAATGGTTTACATATGCTTGATTAAGTTAAACTTTAAATTAATGGTTAAAGATAACTTTAAAATAAGTTACGCTTTCGGTTTACTTTAAGATAAGCTTTATACAACTTTAAAATAAGTTTTTAACGTTTTTAATCATTAAAATAAAGTTAAATACTTTATAATTACAACGCATTATAACCATTAAATTCTTTATATTATAACGTTAAATACTTAAGTTTTTAACACGTTTTATTTATTTTTTATTTTTTATTTATTTTAAAATAAACTTTTTATATTTAAATAAAATAAAATAAAAATTAATAATTAATTGATTAATAATTAATTATTAATCGATTATATTAAATTTGTTTATATTTTATTAAGTTTTATAATGTTATTGATGGTTATGTAACATTGACATAAAGGCACTTTATTGATGATAAGGTACCTTTATTGTAAATAAAAGAGGAAAAGATAAGATATCCAATTTTACTAAATAAAAAAATTAGATATTTATTATTATTAGAATATAAGAATATGTTATACCTAATTAATCTTAAATAAATTTTTTTTTTTTAAATATTTTAATATATTAATTTTAATATTATTAATTTATTTATTATTATTTTATTGTTATTATTATTATTTTTATTTACGTATATATTTATTAATATTAATTAATATTATTAAATAGTAATAATATAAATTAGTAAGGTTAAAAAAGTTATTATTATTTTAATTTAAAAATTTTTATTATAATAATATAAATAATATTAATATTTTTTTTTATATTATTTTTATAATTTATAATAAGTTATAACTTTACCCCTTTATACAATCTATTTGTATTTTTAATAGATTATTGTAATTTAAATTTTTTACTTATAAAATTATTATTATTTATATTATTAATTTTTTCTATTATGTCTTAAGAAACATAAGTAGAAAGTTTAGTGTAAACGTAAACTTGCGTTATATACAATCTTATTAAATAGAAGAATATAAATAAACTATATAAATTTTTAAATTATTTCCTTAGTTAGATATTTATACTTAATATAATATTTAACTATATAATAATATAATAAAAAAAAATTAATTTTTAAATAATTATACTTAAATAAAAAGTAATATAAATACTCTTCGTACTAATAAATTTTAAAACTATTAATAATAAAACATTATATATACGCTTAACCAAAGAAATAATAGCTAAATATTAAAAACGATTTAAAAATTTTACAATAAATAACTTTAAAACATTATTAAAATAATTATAATTGGCGTTATAAAATATATTAATATAAAGAAATATTTATATAAAAAAACATAATATTAATTATATAAAAATATTTATTAACTTTATATTATTATATAACTTATCCATATAAAATACTATTAAATTAAAAATAATAAAAATAAAATAGCTTAATATATTAATATGGAAAATTTTAATTTATAAAATTAAAAAAAGATTAATATATCCCGCTACATACGCGTTTATACAATTACAAGCGTTAATATAATAACATTAAATAATTTTTAACCTATAAACGCTAATACATACGATTACACTTATAAAGCAAATCTTAATATAAAATACTATACTTTAAACCCCATCCTTTTCCAATCTATAATATATATTACTTATTCTATAATTAAAATAAATATTATTTTTTATTTTTAACTAACTATTATTAATCCCTAACATTTTGTTATTAACCTAATAATCAAAACCTATTTTCTAATCTCTTAACTAATTATTGTTCTTAATACATCTCTCCTCCCCCTTTCTTTATATACTTAACCCTAATCTACTATTATAAAATATACCAAATTATCTATAATAATTAATATAACTTTAATAAAGGTATAATTTAAAATATAACCCTAAATATAAAATTAGCTAAATATAACCCCTTCCTTTAATTATAAGAAATATATTTAAACCCCTTAAACCGCCATTAGATAATTTATATATAATATCAACAATTTTATTAAATATTAAACTAAACAGAGGAAACTAACTTATTAAAAATTATAATTTTTCTTTTTAAATAATTTTATTACCTTTATAAACACTTAATCCCCCCGTTTAAATCTTTATACTTATTAGTAACTAATAGATTTAAATTTATTATAACATTTTTCCAATATAAGTCTTTAATAAAATATATCTTTTAATAATTATAAATTATTTTAAAAAGGTTTAAAATAATGAAAATAATTATATAAAAAAAACATATAACATTTTTAAAAATAAATTTCGATTTTTTTTAAATATATATTATACAATAGAAATTTAATAAATATAATTTTATACTATATTTTTTACTATTTTTATTAGAAGAATAATAATTTATTTTTTTTATAATATATTTAAATATTAATATTTTATAAATATATATATAACTATAAAATAATATTTTAATATAAAACAAAATAAGATATAATATTATTAAAATTGAATAATTATTATTTTCTATAATATAAAGGTTGAAAAGAAGAATAAAAATAAATTTAATATAAAAATATTATTATATTAATATATTCTTAAATCTAATTTTAAAGAAAAATAATAATTTATTATAATTATATATAAAATATATTATAATATATTATAATTATAATATATATTATTTATTTTGTTATATTATTTTAAAGAATTAATTAGTAAATTCTAAATATTTATTAAAATATTTAAAAATTTTAAAAAGGTATGTTAATTTATAGTAAATATTAATAATAAAAATAATAATAATAATAAATATAATATTAATTAATATTATATTAATTATAAATATTATTATAATAATAAAAATAATAAATATAATATTTATTAGAAAATGTTAAAATATTAAAAATATTATTATTAAATATATAAAAAAAAAGAATGTTAATTAATTAAATATTTAAAAAAAAAACGTAAAAAAATTAAAGCCTAATAAAAAATTAAGAAAAATTAAGTAAAAGAAAATTATATAATTTTTTTAACCAAATATAAAAATATTAAAAATTTTAACGTAAAAAAATTTAAAAAATTTATTGGAAAAGAAGAAAAATTAAAAAATTAATATATAATTACAATTTATTTTTTAAATAAATCTTTTTAATATTGATTTAATTTATAAATATTAATTCCTAAAAAATTTATTAATAAATTTAATACTAATACCATATTTATTTTTAATTAATATATAAAAAATATATTTTAAAATATTATACCAAATATAAAAATAATATAAATATTAATTATAAATAAAAACTAATATTAAATTTTTATTAATAAAAATTTAAAATATTATAATAATTTAAATATTAATTATATTAGTAAAATTAATATATGTTTTAAAAATAATTTATTTATTAAATTATTAAAAATTATAATAATTAATATTTTATTTGGTAAAGTAAATTTTTATATAATAAAAATAAATATTTTATTTCTTTTTTTTATTAAAGATATAGATTATTTAAGAGTATATTTTAATAATATTATTAATTAATTAATTAATAAAAATGGTATAATAATTAAAATTATATAAAAATAAAAATATTTATAATTTTAATTTAATAATATTATTTATTTTATAAAAATAAAATTATATTATTTATATATATATTTTAATTATTTATTTATTAATAAATTTTATAATTTATTTAATAAGGTAGGATATAAAATAAATATTAAAAACTTTAAAAAAATTAATAAATTTTATTACTATTATTAAATTAAAAATAAAACATTTTAATATTTTAAATTTAATTTTAAAAATCTTAATATAAATTTTAATTATAAAATAATTATTAATATTATATATTTAAATAAAAAATTAATTTTTTATATAATTAATATAATAATAAAATTTTAAATAATTTAGTTTATAAAAAATATTTTTATTAAAAAAATTTAAAAAATATTTAAATAATATTAAATTAATATATACTTAAAACTACCAAACATCTTTAATTATAATATAGGTATTAATTTTAATAGTGTTAAATTTTATAATAAGATTTATTTTATAAAAATTATTTATAATTAAATATTTATTAAAATATATTAGTTAATTAATAAAGTAAAAAAGTATTATAATTTAATTTAAAAAATATATAAAATTATCTTTAAAAAAATATAAAAATTAAAAAAAATTTATTTATAAATAATAATTAAGGTTATAAATAATATAATAAATTTAAATAATTTTATTTTTATTTTATTAATTTTTAATGTTTATTTAAAGATTAATATAAATTTTCTTCCCATATAATTATAATTAAAAAAAATTTAAGTAATATAAAAGGTTATAATTAAAATTAAAAAGGTTAAAACGTAAAAAATTATTTATAATGTTATAAATATAAGAAATGGATTAAATATTTTAAAAATATTATTTATATTATTATTTATTAATAATAATGTATTAATTTATTGTAAAAAAGGTAAATAAAAAAAATTATATAAAATTATTATTATTATAAATAAAAATATAATTATTATATTAAATGCGTTAAAAAATACCTTAATTTTCTAAAATATATACATTAAATTATATAAATAATTAAAAAAAAGTTTTAAAATTTATTTACTATTATTACTACCTTAATTTAATTTTAATAAATATAAGGTTATATTTAATAAGAATTTAAATATATTTATTATAAATATAATATATATTAATATAAAAAAAAATAATTATATTTTTATTTTAAAATTATAATTAAACGAAAAAATAATTGTGTTAGAAAAATTATATAAAATCTTTAATATAAAGGAATTTAATATTTTTTTTATAAATAATATTTTATAACTTAAAATATATAATAAAATATTTTATTAAGGTGTAATTATATTTAAATCTTATATAATTTATAAAATTAAAGGGAAGAATATATTAATATTATATAAGAAATTATAATTTATAGTATAAGGTTATAGAAATTTTAATAAAGATTTTATTATAATATATATTTTAATAATTTAATATGTTAATTAATGTTTGATATTAATTTTAATATTTATATTATAATAGTAAGGTATAAAAGTAATAATCCAAAATATTACTATAGTATATATATAATTTAAAATTTTTATATAAAGGATAATATATATATATTTATTTTTAGAATTAAAAAGTAAATATTTTAAGGGAATATTATTATAAGTAGTTAAATTTTTATATAGATTTATAGAATTAGGTATATATTAGTTTAAAATTTATTTTAAATATTATTAAAAAGAATTAGGTATGATTTTATTAATATTTAATTTATATTTGTTAATTATAAAATTAAATTAATTATTTAAAATTATAAATTTATAAATAAATGATATATTAAATATTGGTATAATGGAGTTTTTAATTGAAAAGGATAAGGTTTTTATAAAAATAAATATTAAAGTAAAATTTTAAAAGGTTTTAAAATTAGGTGTAATTAAAGATTTTAATAAATTATAAATTGTAATTTATAAAAAGATAATTTTTATTATTTAAAAAGGATAAGTAAAAAGGTTGGAAAAATTGGATTTAAAGGTATTTAATATAATTAAAAAATTTATAGAATAATATATAAAAGGTATTTATATTATGTTTATTTATTAGTTTGAAGTAGTTTTTGATTATTTTACGGTAGTGTAGTATATGAAATTTAGGTTAAAGGAAATTAAAGCCTTTAATGCGAGGATTAAATAGTAGATAAATTATAAGAATTAAGGTTTTAGGTATATAGAGTTGGATTTTTAAGATTTGCGTTTATATGTTTTTATAGATGGTTTATTTGTTAATAATAAGGATATGAGTTTTTAAATTAACTATATTGTAATATTTAATAATAAAAGATTTATAAATTATAATAATAAAATATAATTTATTAGTAATATTATTTATTAGTTATTTATTAAATATAAATATATTATGTGTAATATATTTATTAATAAGATTTATGGAATGGTATAAGATTTTAATATGGGTTATATTATTTATAATATTATTAATATTATTTTAAATTGATTAAGTTTTTTAATAATTTTTTTTATTTTATATATAGATTTTTTTTTATTATATTAATGTTTTGTTTAGATGGGTAGTATTAATAAGAAGAGATTAATAATTAATTTTATAGTTTTAAAGTAATTATATAAAAATAAAGAAATTAATAATATTTAATAAATATATGGTAGTTATAATTTGGTAGATGTAATAATAAAGGTGTTTTTAAATAAGGTTATAAAGATATTAGTGGAGGATAATTAAATTAATTTACGTTTAAAAAGATAAGTAAAATGTGGGAAAATTAAAAGTAATATTAAATTAATATAGTAGTAGATTATTAAAGTTAATTATTAATATTAATTTAGATGTAGGTTATTATAAGAAATAAAAAGGGATATATTAGGAATAGGATGGTACGATATGTATTGATGTAATTTTATTTATGGGATAATTTTTAATTTAAATTATTATGGTTTTATTTTTTAATTGTTATAAGTGTATATAATTATAAATATGTGAAATTATAAATGTGTAATAATATATATTTAGATTAATATAAATATATATTAGTATAAATTTTAAGGTTTTATTTATTTAGTTATAATTTATAATTAATTAATTGTAAAAAGAAAATAAAATAAATAATAGTTATATAATATTAATATAAAAATATTTTATTAATAATAAAATATTTTTATTATAAATAAGGGAGGAAAAGATAAAATATCTAATTTTATTAGATAAAAAGATTAGGTATTTATTATTATTAGAATATAAGAATATACTATATTTAGTTAACTTTAAATAGATTTTTTTTTTAAATATTTTAATATATTAATCTTAATATTATTGATTTATTTGTTATTATTTTATTGTTATTATTGTTATTTTTATTTATGTACGTATTTATTAATAATTATATAAAAGCGTATATTTATATAAATATAATGTTAGTGAAATGGTAGTTGAGTTTTGGGTGCGCTAGTATTATTACGGTGTAAAATGGTCCATATATGCCTAATTGGGTTAGACTTTGGGTTGATGGTTAAGGATGATTTTGGGATGAGGTGTAGACTCTATTTGGGGTTGTCTCTGTAATTTGACGACGAAGACGACCTGACGTGATGAACCTTGTTCATAAACCCAGCTACTTCAGCAAAGGGAAAGGTTACCCTTCAACTGGCTGCACTGTAACGCCGGGTTTACTTTGGGATTTACACTAAGACGAACTTCCAACCCTTAGATATTATCATGGCTACCTAGAACATGCTTTTGATGTTCTGGCGGAGGCGGTTTGTTGACTTGATGGTTGTGTGTTCCTTATCGCTCTTGGAAAAGGGGAAATGGGAAACTCGAGACTCGGATGATCGTTCGAATTACTTTAGGTACGTAATGGATAAGAACTTCTCGACCTTAAAAACCTCGCCTAAATATATTACATTTTAATTATATAATTACAAGTCGCCGTCACATCACGATCAATGCTGCTGTTGCGGAATAAAATCGTTTCGTTGTCCATGCGCTATGCAAACGTAAGCTACCTTTTATGGATCGCGAGGCAATGTACCTAGCACATCACCAACCAAGTCCTATGACCAGAACCGACCTGCTAATATATAGCGGACGCCTAGCTATGAAGACGCATAGAAGTAGCCTTTCGATGGCCCCTATTTTCTAATCGGGTCATCTCGATCCGGCGTACTCAATAATTTTCCGTATCCTGCCACAAATGAACCGCATCCTAGAGGCCGAGTGCGCATAATCATCGATGCTAAATAGAAAAGGGATGAAAGCCCCATAGTCTGGTGGCCTTAACGTAGTCACTTGCCGCTCCCCTAACGCCGGTCCCAAATTGATGCCTTGTTACAAAAAGACTGGTATCTGAAGATACGAAAGTTGGACGAACTTATTATAGAATGAGGACAAAGGGAAAGAAGTCGTGAATGTGTAAAGGATGGATGTCAATATGTACCTAGGTAGTCAGTTATGTCGACACCGGGCAGAAAACATTAATTTGACTGTGCAATAGCTAAGTTGCTCATCGCTCGAGTCTTGGCTGCGGTTGCCACCCGTTTATATAAACCATTAAGCCCATACCGATAAGGACAACTCCTATCATAGATGCGTAAGGTATGCTGTTTGCCAATGCCTGATCGCGTGGTAAAAGCCCCGACATCGTGGAATGTGGCGTAATGGTATTGGCCCTTGAGAGCGTGGGTTGGTCAATGGTTTCGCTAGAATCTGACTGACCCTGGCTTGAGTCTGGAGGTGATGTTCTAGCCACAGTGGACAAGTCCTCAGAAGTCACAATGGCATTGCTAAATTTCTTGATGGCACGGGAATCCGATAGAGCTTTCTCCCGTGCAGCAGCTTCTTTAGCTTCAGCATCTCTTCGAATCTGCAAAGCCATTTCTGCTAGACTCTTGCGGCCTGCATCTCTTTCAGCTTCAGCTGTCTCCGCTCGCTGCTTGAAAGCATCGAGCTGCTGTCGTAGATCCCTGATTTCTAATACCATTGACTCAATCTGAGTATGTAACTGCGTGGCGGAAGCTTCGATGGCTTCAGCTTGCGGAGCTGTTTTGTTAGTGGCGTTGAGAATATTATCGGTAGCAGGCGATACTTCATCTATGGGTGGTTCGAAAGCTTCTTCTAATGCGGTCCCCTGAGCTTCCGACTTCACGGGAACACCATTTGTCTGTATGTTAGAGTTCTCTTCTAATCTTCTGGCCAACTCCTCGGCAAGCTCTCGAGCTAGTCGCTCTTTCTGCAAGGTTTCCTCAAGTTCTCGCATACGTGAACTTTGATTTTCTATTTCCCGCTTCGCGTTACTCAATAATTCTGTCAAGTGTAGGATCTGGCTCATTCCGTCCTGTCGGATCGGTGACATGTTCTGGCTAGGCTGTTTAGGCCGCTCGGTGATACCTCGCTTTAGAGACGGAACATCTGGTTTCTCGGGCAAAGGTTGTTGTGGTGGTGGGGCTGGAGGATCAGAGAATCGTGTTTTATTATCGGATCTGAATGATATCCCATTTCCATTGATTATTTGTGACCGTGGCTGCTCAGCTACTTCGGGTTTCTCGATATCCTTAATATCATCTTTCGTCAGAAGTCCTTGGACAAACTGATTTGTTCGACCCAGATCTTGTGATTGAAGACGCTGATTCCGCATCTCATGCTAGGTATGGTTAGACATTAATCCAGTATAAGAAATGGGTCTTGCTTACCTGAAGCCGCTTTACAATCTGCTCGGTGCTAATAGGCGAAAAGAACAGACCTCGTTGATGACCCATGACGTTTCCTTGGGACCCCATCATACTACCGCCCGCAATCCGTCCGTTACTCGCCATGGAAGCTTGACTTCCCGTTCTAGGCCGAGCAGGCAGACCACCTTGCGGACCCATCATCATCATCGAGCCATTCGCAGGATCGAGATCGCCGAAATTCATATCGAGAAGATTACTCGAAGGGTTCAAGAAACCTGCATGCTCAACCTTCGCCGCCACTTTATGATGCACAATGGTCTTCTGATCCTCACTAACGATATCAATACCCAGTTCTAAATGATCGTTGGTTTGCAATTCATGTGGCTCGGACTCGCGGTTCTCTTGTGACAATCGTGTACCATTGACAAAAGTACCGTTCGAAGACTTAACATCGCGAATCCAGATCTTTCCCTGGCGGTCCGCCCAGATCTCTGCATGTTGGCGGGAAAGGACTTTCGAGTCGAAGAAACCATTAACTGGTGTGGGAACTGTCTTTGCGTTCGTCTGACGACCAATCCTAAGGGTCTCAGGAGAAAACGGGACAGATATCGTTTTGCGCTCAAACGTTCCGTTGAGAGATAAGAGATATAATACAGGCTGGTTCCCGCCGGTTAAGGAATCAGCCATGGGACGGGACATTCCTTGCTGCGCTCCAATCATGCCTTGGGAAGGTAATACTGGTGAAGCTGAATGCATCGGCGCAGATCCATTTATGCCACCAACCAACTGCGGGCGTCCTGCAGACATTCTTACAAAATCCGACTGAGCATCTGGTTTCGGAGTCGGCCACGGGGCTTTCGGTTGGGGTCGCTTTCGTGTTCCGGTACCATTATTCCACGCGCCCATGTCTCCCGAAGTTGGTACAGAGTTGCCATTCGTTTGGGAGCCGGTAGTAGCGATAGTTGAGGTGGATGATACGGATGAAGTCGAAGAAATGGAAGAGGAAGAGTTGTTTCGCTGCAAGTTCTTTCGAGGCAGTAACATCCGGTTCAGCTCATCGGGATTCATGGAATTGATCTGACCGGCGTGTCCGCCGTTAATACTCCATGCCGGCCGATTATGTTGAGCGAAAGTTGGCGGGCTTGCGACAGCCGTCATTAGGAAGAGCAGCGAGATGGAATGCGAGATGGAAAGGGAACGGGTGGATGAGAAGGCAGACCAAGAAGCCGAGTCGGGGGGTTAAGCGGGCCCCTTCTGTTGATCATGCACGCGACCGGAACTAGCCAAGTATGCCGAAATATGTGTATGTGTATGTGTGTGTATGTGTATATGTGTATTGATAGAAAGAAGCGATCGAGAGGTAGAGAGGGTATTTGCAGACGAGAGGGTTGTTGATGTCGTTTCTCTAAACGGCGATAATAATAAAAACCTGGTTAGTTAAAGGGGCGTTCCATAAGTTAAGACGAGGGTAACAAGCAACTGATTGAAGTTGATTACAGGAACACCGGGGTGACAGGGAAGACGTCAAATATGATTTGTGCGCGGTTAGAGAAAAAAGAAGTTTGGGAAATTTTGGATACATACCATGCGATCTTGATAAGGGGTATCTACCTAGGTAGGCGACGATATGTGATTGGAAATATGTCGAACTATCAAGGTACACAACTCTTTTGAGTGATGTAAGAGGAGCGAGCAACACTTTTGAGGATGTGGTCGCTCAAAGATTTGGAGTTGCCCAGGTTCCTTGTCGAGGTCGGGTCTCTCTTTTTGCTGGCTAATCCCGTTACTTCGATGTTCTGTATGTATGTACCTAACCTACCTAACTTTAGTACAGAGTTACTTTATTTACTAAGCGCTTTACATGCCTTAGCAATATTTTAATGTGGCAACAACATGGGTTTGATACAACAAATAGCAAGCCTGAAGAGAGCCGCAAGTTCCATTTTACTTTTTTCTTTCCTTTTCGCCCTTGCCTTTAGAAACATATGTAGGTTGATAACATCTCAACAGTTACCCTAGGTACCCAAGGTATACACTGAGTAGGACAGCTTTGTCTTAAAAGAATATATATAGGTACCTACCTAATACATTAGGTAAATATATCAAAATTACGTCTGTTAATATTGGCAATTTACTATATATGAATATTGCTAACTAACCTAAGAATTCCTTCGTACACAATTGCCATTTCAGCTAGGGATGGAAGTCATAGATGCATGCGACGCAATGTGTTATTATGAGGTACATACCTGTGAAGCAAGTGCTATGCTCTCGTCACGTGATATATCATCAAGAAGGGTAAAGCGCCAAACCATTTTCTAATCTTGAATGATCCATGTATCATTTAGCTTAAAAGTACCTAAGGTACGTACTCATTTTCTTTATTGATAAACTGGACCTTTGGATCTAATCAGTCAGCCGCGCCAAGAATCTGGAGATCCCGGCTTTACAACAGCTGATTTGCGAAATCATTTCTAAGAGCCTCGGAAGAAAGAAGCATCCCGCCAGCCAGCAAACCCAACTCAGCAGCGCTATAGCCTTAAACTTCTTTTTCTAAACTATTTTACCATCGTTGAGATTCAGTCAGGTACCTAGAGATTTGAATCAGCTCAAGATGCCGCCTGTTCCAACAACCCGCGGTCCTCATGGCCCCTCCACCGTCGACAAACGTTCGTAGTCCCTAAGACTTTAGATGCTCAAGACTACTTAAAAAGCATCGCTAACATTTTTATTTATTGAATAGTTAAGATGGGAGCTATGATGGGTGGTAGTATGTAACCATATCGAGTTCTCCAAGCAATTTGTGTTTACTAAAACTAAAAATCATTATAGCTGTTGGCGTCATTATCGGTTTCATTTTCGGTATGCTCTATCTCCCCCACCCCGCCGAGCCCATGACTTGGGGGAATCTATGCCCCTAACATATGGCGCATAGGAACTGTGAACATATTTAGATACGGCGCCGGACAGAACGGTATCATGCGAACTTTAGGTCAATATATGTTAGGATCTGGCGCTACATTTGGGTATGTGAAGCCTGAGATGTTCGTTAAGGCCGCGCCTAACTTGGAACTAACAAATTTGCGTAGCTTTTTCATGTCGATTGGAAGTGTTATCAGAACTGACGCGTCGCCCATCGCCGTCGAAGCATTTGCGCGAGCACAACGACGACCTTTTATCATGTCTCCTCAACCAAGCACGTATAGTCCACGAAGTCAATAGAACTTTGCCCACCTCATGGTACCGCCGCGGAGCTTGGGCCGAGAATAAGACCTTACGAAAAGTTAGCGTCCGATTCTTTTCAGCTTCGATTTTCATAGTTCTGCAGAAAAGTCATATCAACAGCTGAGACATACCAAATTCATCGACTAAAGAATCTCTACCATCAAGGATGCTAGACTGGGTGGAAACTATGGGTCGATCTGATATTGAACTTCCCCTAGCCACACCAGCTGAGAAGTTGTAATATATCAAATCTCTTGTACATACACTAATTATGACAGCTCTGAGACTCAGAAATGTCAAGCAAAGCACTACGCCACACCTCTGATAATTAAAAGCAACAACACCACTGTCGATTCTAATCCCCAAAGTATTGACACGGCATTAGCCGAAAACATAGCCCTCCAGTCATGGCTTTACCCAGGATATCAAAAACTTGTGCGAATCCGGATAGTTACAGCTAGATTAACCTGTCGAGTGCAAACGGGCGAGTCCACGGGTTTCCGCATTTCTCAAAATCATGTACTGGCTAGCCACGTCTCGTATCATTCACGCTCTCATCGTGCTTTATCTACCTAGAGGTACCAAGGTATTTCTTGATTTTTGTTTTGCCATGTATGTTCCATGGATTATGGCGTACCCCAATCAAATTTCCGGATCAGCCACACCGAAGCCATGCATGCGTGGAACAATCATAGCAGAATTAGATCCCCTAAGATGAGCCAAGCTAAGGAAATCCCAGTTTTTCGAAGCACGAGAGACTTGCGACTCAGGCGCCCTTGTTTCTACCTAGGCTTTTGTATAAGCAGATCGGTCCTTTTCCTTATTTTGCTTGTTTACTATGACATATTCTTCATTCATGGTGTCAACTTCCCAACACATCTCAAAATTCCCGCTGCTTTGAAAATGTTTCAGTTTAAACCCGTGGAGAGGTCTGGAGGAACGCTGTCCGAACTAAGATATCTGTTTATTTTCGTGACGGCAGTCCACGTTCCATCCTATCACGAAAATGAATGAAAACGAAGCTCGGGACCTGAGGAAAACAGTGGGCCTAACGCGACTGTCTCAGACACTATTCATCTCTTGCATACATTTTAATGGGGCGAGGCTTGAGATATCTCGAAACAGCTATTGGTAGATGCCAATAATTTATGAGAAGTCGTCATCAAAGTCTATCAGTGTTACAGTTGGTTTTCGTCCAACTCTCCTATTCTACCGTGGCCCCTTCAACGATGGCCAACGACTAGGTAGTATCCGATTGGCTTAGGGTGCGCCGCATCAGCCCTTCAAGTATATGTATGTCTATATGTATGTCGTCGCTCAGCATTATCGGTCTTTCCCCCCCAGTAGGGTCTGACAGTCAACAAGCCATATTCATATCTTGTTTGACAGGTCCAGGATGTAACCCGCCAGACAACATATAGGTGCCAACCGCAATGCCGATGACGCTTACAATACCCTTTCTAGGGTGACAAGTATTGTATAGACATTAAAAAGGGAACATGCCCATGTCTCAAAGTTTTCTTACAGTTACTTCCTATCCCTGCGAAGATAAGCGAGGCTGTCTGGTTATCTAATATCATATAATAGGTTAGCCCACTCGATCTGGAATGAGATGGTTTCCTTCTTTTACACCTAGATTGTAGTGTCTCCCACGTAGTTACTCTGGTCAACCTTGACCTTCTTTCCTTATTCCTCTGGCTTCCTTGAGGCCGTCCGATCGTTATTTGATTTGATTTTTTATTTTTGTAATGGGGTTTCTCAACTTTTGCTGCTGCTTAGCCGGCGAACTTTCGTCAACCGCACAAAATGGGTAAGAGAAGCCTATCTGAGTGCTTTACTAGGTAAACAATTCAACAGCAACTAATTTATTTCGTTTAGAAATTCTCTTTGGGGCACGCTCCTAGCCCAAGCCCTTCCACTTTTTATTATTGGGAGTGGAGGATTCAACGTTATCCCGTGGGGCGACAGGAGGCCTGGGTCGAGCAATCCTTATACAGACGCACCGCACACTGGTATAACGCGTAGATACGAGTTCAACATTAGTCGAGGTATAATCGCGCCAGATGGATATCAGAAGGAAGTGTTGCTCGTCAATGACCAGTTTCCCGGACCGCTTGTTGAAGCTAACTGGGGTGACTATATCGAGGTGAAGGTCACCAATTCCATCGACGATGGTCCACCGGAGGGGACAGCGATTCACTGGCACGGGTTTTTGCAAACAGGAACGCCGTGGATGGATGGAGTTCCCGGTGTCTCTCAATGCCCGATTGCTCCTGAGAAAAGCTTCACATACAAATTCCGTGCCGAGCTATACGGTTCATCTTGGTACCATTCCCACTACTCCGCTCAGTACGCAGGTGGTCTCTACGGTCCTATTGTCATCTACGGTCCAAGAAATGCGGACTATGATGTTGATCTTGGCCCGATCATGATTAACGGTATGTATACAGAGGCCAGGGCTTTACAGAACTGCTTATTGACATTGACATAGACTGGTCACATAGAAACTATTATGCGGTCGTCCAAGAGGTTATGGGTCCTGATTCTAATGGACTGACCTACTCAGACAACAACCTAATCAACGGAAAGATGAACTTTGACTGTTCTACGGTGGACGCCGACGATGAGACACCTTGCACAGATAATGCCGGGCTATCCAAGTTTATCTTCCGACCGGGTAAGACTCACCGTCTTCGATTCATCAACTCTGGCGCGGAGGGCACTCAGCGCATCTCTATCGACGAGCATAACATGACGGTTATAGCCAACGATTTCGTCCCAATCAAACCCTATGACACCCAGGTTATCACTCTCGGAGTCGGTCAACGAACTGATGTGATTGTGCATGCTCATGCCGATCCAGGGTCTGCATTTTGGTTGAGAGCAAACATTACGTCTTGCTCTAGCACGAAACAGCCGTTGGCGCTCGCTGC